ACGCTTCTGCTGGTATGTCTGGAGAAATCGCTTAATAAATTGCTTGTCAGTTTCGAAAGATGCATCTTCATCAAAATCATCGTTGACGAAGCGGGCATTGCAGATTGTTAAGCATACAACCATTAAAGCCAGAATGTATAGAAGCGTCTTGCTGTTAACCATCGCTGTTGTTTGTGTTGAATGCAAAAATTAATATTGTTTGGTAATATATATCTTGAAGCGAGGACCACTTTTTATTTTGCAAGAATATTTTCAGTCTTTATATAGTTATTGCGAATAGAAGAGAGAAAAAGAGAGAGTAGCGCAATCATATTAATTTTTCTCTTTTAATTCGACGTAATGCATTATAATTAGAAAAGGGTAAACACAAAAATATATTACCATTTGCGCTTAGCCTTGAATAAAAAAATAATTTATCTCAGTCAATCTGAAGGCGTTGTAATTACGAAAAAAGAATAAACACAAAAATATAGATCATTCATATTCACAATTGAAAACATATTACCGTTTGCATTTAGCCTTGAGTAAAACAATAATTTATCCCAGTCAATCTGAAGGCGTTATAATTACGAAAAAAGAAAAAAAGAATAAACACAAAAATATAAATCATTCGTTTTCACAATTGAAAACATATTACCGTTTGCATTCAGCCTTGAATAAAAAAATAATTTATCCCAGTCAATCTGAAGGCGTTGTAATTACGAAAAAAGAAAAAATTGCTTTTGAAGGTTGATAATATATCACGCCATATTATTTGCCTTGTCAAAAATATAGAATACACTTTTGTTACTTATGCACATATTATTCTATACTCAGAGTATAATCATATTATAAAAATATTACTTTATGTAGATACAATTGTCGACTATTTTTTTCTTTAATACTTATGTCTACGTGATGTGCGAAACAAATATTGTTGATCTATTGATCGATTTTTTTTGATTCATCAATAACACGTCGTCTATTTTAATAAATAGCTTTCGTTTGAATATGATTATAACCATCAAAATATATGACAGCTATACATAAATTATAGGTAAAGAAAAAGAAAAAGAAAGAGAAAAGATATGATCAATATGAAAGTAACTCATGCGAGACAAAAACGAAGGATATTTACAAAAAATATGAAACTAGTGAGTGACGACAAAATGTTCAACCAATAATAGGACTGTTACTTGATCTTTACTTTATGAATAAAGGTAAAGATTTATTTTATTTATAGAAATAAAGTTAGAATAAAGAATAAATATACATTTTTTTACGTTAATTACTGTTCTTTCTTATCATTATCATCATTTCTATATGCTGTATCATCAAAAAAAAGATCACACAAAAAAAGATATATACGAAAAATATTATTTCATATTATATTTACCTATGTAATATCATGATTTTTTGTGAGCTACTCCAAAACAATTCTTTATCCTTTATTTTCGAAAATAAAGCAAAATTTTATCTTTATCTTATAAGAATAGTGTTTTTAATCTCTTTATCTTTATTCTTTAGATGTATTAAACATAGGAAAGAATTTATATCTGGAAAAAAATTTGTTTAAAATCTTCATTATTTCGTAATATCATTAATATACTTAATTCAAAGAAGGGTAGTGTTTACAATATCTACAGAAGAAGAAACAATAAACTATCTAAAGTGAACACTTAATATATACCTATCTGTTATTTCAACAGTACGAAGTATAAATTTAAGAATGAAAATATTTACAAAACATATTATTTTATTAAATACTTTTTTGTAAAATGATATTTAATAAATATTATCGTTTAGATCTGGTAGTTATCTAGAAAATGAAGAACCATCTTTATCAAATAAATATAATTATTCTCAAAGTGAATCAAGTTCACGATCTCAACATGACAGAGAGCCAGTTACAAGACAATCAAAAAACCTACTACTACCTTCGAAAAAAACCAAATTCAATTCAAACTAAAAATTCTTTAAAAAAATCTAATAAACTTGATAGTACAGACTATTATGATAATTCAAATAATCAATGGGATAATTGGGTCGAATCAATAGATAATCATCAATGATATCGTCAACAATTACATTTAGATGATCTATCAACACAAAAACCAAATCATTATAATAAACAGCTATCAACAATAAAAACATGTAATAATGATCGACAACAAACAAGCAAATTTCAATATTCATTTTGAATTCTTATTCATTTTTTTTCTTCTTTTAATTCAATTAGATTAGCGTTTTAAACAAAATTCATTGACATTAAATAAAACTAATGATAGTAAAACTCAACTAGTATGGCGTCCATTATCTCCAAATCGATCAGCAGAATCTATTGATTCAACACCATAAGCGTCGATGATATGTAAATCTCAACAACAAATAAATGATCGTCGTCAATCAAAATCTTATCAACAACAAATAAATATTAATGATGATAAACAACGATATCAAACAATAAATACAACATCTATATCACCATTAATGAGTGTACAATCTGATGTAAATACAAGTGTAAAATTATATATTATAATTCAAATTTACAAACTCGTCAAGGTTACCATCATTCGAATGCGCATAATCGAGGATGTACGACATTAGGTTCATATGAACGTTATAGACGAAGTGGAATATTTCATCAATGCAAGGTAATCTTTCATATGATCCCTGTATATATAAAAATTTATCTGATGGTGATCAGTTTACCGGTAGCAGTAACTTAAAGGATATGACAATAACGAAAAATCACCTAGGATTATCTTTCATGTTTTAGAATTGATCACTTTTAATTTATAAATTGGCAGTAAGTCAAGAACAGAATCAGATAACTGTTCATCAGAAAGCATCTGACATAAAATAGATAATCCTTCTTTTGAAAATAGAAATATAATAGAGGAAAATTTTTATCAAATTAACTTATTTTATTTAATCTTGATAATCGTATTAAATATTTATTTAGAATACGATACAATGCAAATGTCTGGTACGCATAATTATTATGGTTCAGTTTGTCGAGCAGCATATGGTCTATCCAGTAATTATTATTATGAACATCCTCAACAGTAAGTTTTTCATTTTCGCATTTCTTTATATGTGTATTATTTTTATTTATAAAGACATTGTAATAATCATTATAATTATTCGAATGAATATTATCAACAACAACGTTCAACAAATAATAAAGATTCAAGATATGGTGGTGCATCAATTATGCAAAATCAACAACAAAGATAACCGATAGTCAATGAAAGTAATAATAATCATTTTCATCATCATTCAATAAAGGATAATGATCAAAAAGAAGGTGAGGAATGGGAAACAGCATCTTGATGGAATAAATAATCAACAAACAAATGAAATAAAATCAGTTAATCATTGTCAAACACTACCTAAGAAAAGTTTTTCTAGTCAAAGGTATATTTAAATTTTTAAATTACAAAAAAAATTATATTATTCATTTTTAGATCAAATGCGCGTCAGATTTTCAAATATACGAATGCATGAGAGAGACAATGGATGACTCTTCCTGATTTCTTATTTTTTTAATTTCGTCTCTATTTTTTATCTTTCTCTTTATGTGTGAACGCGCATATATATTATAATAAATATGTATGCTATATTATTGTTCTTTGAAACTAAATAGAAGAGTAGACTAAATACATATATACATAAATATATTTATTCATCTTTTTCTCTCTGTTTGACAAACTAATCTAAAAAAAAGATTTTTAAAGCAAATTTTGAAAAAGAAAAAATATATTCTCTTTTTTTTACATAATATACTGGTTATATTACATTTTTTTCTCGAATGACGATGAATATCAATATAATGTGTGTTGTTGTTTATTAATCGAATAAAACATTTCTAATCATCTGTACGTTTCACTTTTTTTGTCGCCCCATGTAACATAATTGATCAAAAATATAAAAAATCTCTTTTTTCTTACTATTAATTAATTGTAAATAGAACGCGACAAAAACAAAAAATAACATAAACATAATGTGTGAAACATTTTAATAATTGATTTTTTTTGTCGCTCTATCTCTATTTCCCTGCGTTTATATTTAATCTTAATGTGTTTATTTCGCACCCAATACATTGCAGGTTCTTTTTTGTTTTGTTTTTCACTTGTCATAAAAAATAAAATGCAACCATAATATTAAGTTTATTTCATATCTATTATTAAAATATTTATCTTCTTGAAATGTGCTGTTTTCAACATCAACCATAAAAAATATGTAGTAGTTATAGAACTGATAATAATGATTATTCTGATAAATAGTTCTAGAAAAGATGAGAATGTTTAAAAATTGTATTCTTTTATTAAATAAATCGAAAAAAAGAACTATACATCTAATATACACGTTTATTTCTAATATTTGTATATTTTCAATAAATGTAAATATTGATTTGTTTTGTATTCAGTTTGACGAGACCTTGTATATAAACATGCTGCTATAAATACAAATAATAAGTTAATCAGTACGTTAACTTATTCAAAATCAACTATTCGTACTAATTAGAATACTCATTTTCTTTAGTGTATAGGTTTACTTTTCGCATATCACTGATAAAGTATTAATTTATCCTTTATACTACATCTATTATTTCTATTCAGTGAATTACATATTAAATGTATAGATTTTCACATTTGTACCGTTTCTCTTTGAAAAAAAGGATGCCTCTTTGTATGGAATATCCGTACGATATTGAATAAGGTATTAAATAGATGTCATTTTTGCTATTTTCATTTCTTCTTAATGTATTGCTTTTGCGGGATTGAACTATTTCTTCTCAAAATGAAGCAATTTTTCGATCGGCTTTTCTAATAGTCCACTGCTCTGCATCTCTCTGTATACTTGAACACTTATATTATTCATTGGTAATAAGGACATCTGTCGACAAAATTTCGTATACTAAACAAAAAGAAAAGGAAAATAACGAATGTAATTTTCCTCTTTTTTAATTAAAACTAATAATTTGATATCAAGTAAAAATTTGATTGCTTTACGGTATTGAATATTTCGTCTGTTCGTTATTGTATAGGTTGCATACAATCAACACAAATAAACAATTAACCTCTCATAGACAAGCTTGAACTGATTGTTACCAATAGAACATCAGATAATAATCAGCAAGGGAACTTTACCTTTGAGAATATTACTGAGATTCTATTCAATATTTCTCTTAATTCAATACAGAATGAATGTAATACTATTCTTGATATTGACACATGACTTGACAATAAATTCTTATAGAAAAATTAAATAATTATGAATACTTTAACAGTCGATTTATGTTATTTCAAAACAACTTATTCATCTTAGTAGATATTTATCTTGTAACAAATTCAATTTAAAAATTATTTTATTTCATTAGAAAATTTATAATTTATGTTATATTTATTTCCTTAATATGGTTTAAAATACGACAATTGATAAACTATTCATATTATCTACTCATGAATTATCAAGTTCACTTCTTAAAATAGATTAATTCAAAATATATCTTTAGATATGTTAGATTCTATTACAAAACTGCATCATAATTTAACATCTTGTTCATTATAGCATGTAGAATAATATCAATTGAACTTTTATGATCTTCGTTATTTACTTGATAATAAAAATATCGAACAGTTTTGAATGAATAGTAAATCACTATGGATTGATCATAGAATAATTCTTATCACTCAAAACTTGATATTATTTAATAAGAATTAATGATAAAAATTTTTTAACAATATTCGACATTTCTTTTAATAGACTTACGATTTTGTTACTATTGTTTATGTCGGTTGAAATAATATTAAATCTATTATTCATGTCACTTTATATTCAATTATATTTATAATTCATTGTGAATTTATTTTCCGATAAATCATATGAATACGACAAATTACTTCAATACTATTCAAATATTCTTTTTGTTCTGTCTATTATTCATAGATTTTCTTTGAATATTAGATTTGTTTCCATATGATCATAACCAAGAAGAATACGACAGTGAATAATGTTATTATTACTTTTTTTTCTAGATATTTGTTTTGGTAAATAAAAATGGGTCGAAAAAAGAAGAAAATAACTAAACCTTGGTGTTGGTATTGTAACCGTGAATTTGATGATGAAAAGATTTTACTACAACATCAAAAAGCAAAACATTTTAAATGCCATTTATGTCATAAAAAATTATATACTGGACCCGGTTTACAAATCCATTCTATACAAGTAAAATATGATCTATTTTCTTATAGTTTTTATTTAATCACTAGATATATATATTTAGGTACATAAAGAAAATATTGACAAAGTACCAAATGCAATTAAAGGTCGAGATAATATTGAAATTGAAATTTATGGTATGGAAGGTATACCAGAAGATGATCTTCGTCAACATGAAAAACGACTTGCTGGAAAAGATAAAGATGAGCCAGATAATACTGATTCTGTGAAAGTACCTCCACCAATGACTATGCCACAAATGCCAAATTTAGGAATGATGGCTCCACCACCAATGATGCCCATGACTTTTACTGGTATCCCTTTTGGTATGCCACCGATGTCACTTTCTATGATGCCTGTGTCAATGATGACTCAATTACGACCACCTATGCCTATGGTTCCACCAAATGTTGGTAATTCTGCTACTCTTCTATCATCAAATCAAATGATGGGACCTGGTTCTACCTCTTCAAAACCACTTTTTCCTAGTGGAATTACTGACGTATATTTTATTTATTAAAATAAAACTTTGTTGAAAATATTAGTTTAATTCTAGACAAATAACAATGGTCATCCTTCCAATATAGGAACAATGTCATCAAATACAGTATCAACATCAAATCTATCATCGAATGGATCTAGCTCATTGTCTACTAATAAAACAAAAATAGAACCTGTAGCAGATACTGCTAAAATTATTCATCCCGATGATGATATATCTTTAGTAAGTGTGATTGTTTTAATATAAAAATACGAGAGAAATCTTTTTCTCATTTTATTTAGGAAGAATTTCGTGCTTCTTTGCCGAAATATAAACAAATGATGATGCCACAACAAATGCAAATGCCACCAATGCCAGTTGGTCTTTCTATGGCTAACTTTATGCCACGTATATTTTTTAATTTGATTTCTTTCTTTTTTTAAATTTAATATTAAAAACTTTCTTTTAGCGTCTATGGCAAATTTATCATTTATGGCACCACCAACGGGTTTTCCTCCAATGGTATTTAATGGTCCACGATTCTGATTATTCGAACAATGTACGTGGATATTTCATTTAATCTTGTTTTCTCTTCTCTTATCTCCCTATAAGAAAAAAAAAACAAGACAAAATTTGACTAGATGAATAAATATCATCTTGATATTTCTTACTTTTGTTGCAATCAAATTTCGTTCTCTTACATTATTGATTTTTTTTACTGTCATTCAATGTTTTGTTTCATTTGTGTCTATGTGTACGTTGATAAAAATATGAAAAAGAGAATATATCGATTTCATTCCTTATATATACATTTACATATATATTTATATAATTAATTAACTATTTATCTGACCTTTCTAGGCTGCATACATGTGAATAATGTGCTCGTGCGACGATAGACATAGACCCAATAACAGGTCGGTCTTTCACACGACGCCGTGTCACAGTAGCAGTAGCAGCCTATTAAAATTTATTTACATAATATTCATTTGCTGCCAGCACTGTTGGGCTACTCAATAAGTCAGCCCCCAAGAGAGAAATTTCACTCTCTTGGTGACATACATTCAATTGAAAACGGCGATCATTATTTTTTTTTACATTTATTGATTGCTTTTTTTTTGTTTTGTTTTACTTAGCTAATTTTATAGGAATAATTTAAAGATAAAAATAATCGTATATCGGCAGGTAAATTTATATTTTAAAACTCTGTAGATTATTTTATAAATCAAAAGAAAATGAGTGCTATTAAATTAGTTTCACCAACTTCGACACGTATCGGTTTTATTGGTATTGGTGTAATGGGTGCTTCCATGGCTGGACATTTAATAAAAGCTGGTTATAAACTAAATATATTTACACGTACTGCAGCTAAAGCTGATTCACTTGTATCACTTGGTGCTTCATTATTTAAAACTCCACGTGAAGTCGCACAAGAATCAGATGTTGTTATTTCTATTGTTGGTTATCCGAAAGATGTTGAAGAAGTTTTACTTGATGATAAACATGGTGTATTACCTGGTTTTGAATCTGGTAAAATATCAATTGATATGACAACTTCAAAACCATCATTAGCAGTACGAATTCATGAAGAATTCAAAAAACGAGGTGCACATGCTCTTGATGCTCCAGTTTCAGGTATGTAAATTTCATTCATATTAAATGAGAAAAATAGAAAAAAAAATGTTTCATAATTGTGATAATAAATAATATCATTTGTTTTTATCCGTTAATATTTTAAAATCTAATTCATAGGTGGTGATATTGGTGCTAAAAATGCCACTCTTTCTATTATGGTTGGTGGTGATCAAGATGTTTTCGATGCTTGTTTACCTATATTCAATATTATGGGTAAAAATGTTCGATTAATGGGTAAAGCAGGTTTTGGCCAACATACTAAAATGGCTAATCAAATAGCTATATCATCTGGTATGATTGCTATGTGCGAATCACTTCTCTATGCTCAACGTGTTGGTCTTGATTGTGAAAGTGTTATTCAAGTATTAAGTTCCGGTGCTGCACAAACATTTTCAATGTCAAATTATGGTCCACGTATACTTAAACGTACATTTGATCCTGGTTTTTATGTTGAACATTTCATTAAAGATTTAGGTATTGCATTAGAAGAAGCAAATCGAATGGGACTTATTTTACCTGGTTTAATACAAACAAAAATGCTTTATGATATTTTAGCTGCTGATGGTAAGCAAAAATTAGGTACACATGCTTTAATGTTAGCATTGGAAAAATTAAATGGTCTTAATAAAACCGGTGATGAAGTAAAAAAATCATAATTTTATTGTAGTTTTCTATTGTGATTATTTTTGTGATTTTGCAATATGCATATGAGAAAAACGAAAGTATGATTTCCAAAATAGTGATTAAAAAATAAAAGAAAGAAAACATTTCCGAATGATAGTTTATTTGTTATATAAATTCACACTGTAATATGAAATAAATTGACTATAAAAAAGAAATATAAAACATAAGTTTAATATTAATTTATGCTGTAAAATAGATAGCAATTTTGCACTCTTTCTACTACAAAAAAAACAATATAAGGTGAATAGAAAAGCATATTTCTTCAGTTGATATATAAATGATTCTTTAATTTTCTGGTATATATAGAAGATTATAAGTTTATCTATAATTCTAATTTACCAATCGTTTTATTGGAACTTTTCGTTATATAAAAATGAGATCAATCATAATAATAAACATAATATATTTTTAACCCTGATTCCTAAACTATTATTCCCTGTAAAACAAGTTTTTCTTTCCAGAGATTTACATACTGTATTCAGCGCAACAAAAAATAAATCTCTTGAAATGCTAATATTAACTGCGTGACATACTTTTCATTCCGATTGCAATTTGTTATAAAATCGAACTAGATGCAACCCTCGAATACCAAATTCCATCATGAAGTATTGAAAATTGTTCTAATCTTCAAAATTTCAATAGAGCATACTATTGATATGCTAGTCTATTCTATGTATCTATATTGAGTATACATTGATACTTGGGAAAAGAGGTCATATTTTCAAAAAGCTTATATAATAATTAGATTAATGTTTATTTCGAAGAATCATAAAAATATTTGATAGATCTAATAAACATAACACTTTTTTCTGTTCGATGTCGATTGTCATGGTCATCAATTAAGAAAAAAACGATTTCAACATATGAAGATAATGAGAAGTTATCATTCATTATTAAAAAACTATTTTGATAAGTTTAGTTACTCTACATTTTTAAATATACTGCAATACTTTTAAAGTGTGAATTACTACTCGATTTTAATCTACGTTAATAACAATAATTAACTTCGATTAATATTGACAATTGTTAATCCGAAAAAAAGTGCAAGTATTGAATGAAATATAATATTAGTTCGCTTCTGTAAAATGCTAAATACAAAATACGTAAGTATGCAATAGAATCTGATTGGTTTAAAATGAAACGTATAAGCTCTATAAATTGTTTTTATACCCTAAAAAGTACAGGTAGCTTAATTTCAACCATTCATCAATAATATGCCAATAACACCTGTATTTCTTTCTCATCTCAATTAATACAAGTATTATATTCTGATTTAGGTGTATATAAACGATTGATATTTTTCGTTTGATCTTGTTTTTAATTATTTTATTTCGAAAACAAACGATACTATGTTGAAATCAATTATTCTTGCTCTACTTTTCTTAGGTAAATTTTTTTTCTTTAGAAAATATATTCTATATTTGTGAATATTGAGTTTAGGTGTAGCTGTCAATGCTAAAATCACTCAAGAAGATATTACTGCTATTAAAGAATCATTAACAGCAGCTGTTCAAGCCGATAACCAATGTACAACAGCAGCTGATTGTACTGCCGCCGCTGTTGGATCTCGAGCATGTGGTGGACCAAGCAGTTATGTCGTCTATTCAGCTGAATGCGCTAATGCAGAGCAAATTAGTTCATTGATACAATTGGCAACTAGACTTGAAAAACAATTTAATACGGAAAATGAAATGATGTCTATTTGTTCAATGATTATGCCACCAAAAGCATTATGTGTTGCTAATAAGTGTAAGGCTGCAGCAGCATTCGAATCATTCGAACCAATGCATTAAATTAACTTCAAAATATACTTTTTTCATAAATATTTAAAATAAAAATTTTGAAGGAAAACACTATCTAAAATGACAAAGAAATAAAAGAATTTATTACCAAATGAACATAAAATTTGTAAGAATTATTTGTTCTTGACCAAACTGTTATAGTCAAGAGAAAAAATTCATAATTTAAATTGTCTTAGGATACTAATCAATTAACGAATTTTTATATATTACAGTAATTTGGAATCATCTGTACAGGTTCTTAAGATACTATTACACAAAGAGAACAATGAAAAATGATTCAATGTTGAACTATTGTAAATTCAAATAAAGAGATCATGAAACAAGTTAAGTATCTGCGTTTATGCTTGATCAAACGATTTCATTTTTTTACCAACGTTAGAGGCATATCTAGGCTTCATATCCACATAAACATACATAGAGAGATCTTTTCTTAACTATCTTACTTTTTTCCTATTTGTTAAACGGTATAAGTTTTTTTTGTTAAGATCAGTAATTGTACTTAAAAAAGGTTCTCACCAATCTTGTCTGTATCGCTTTAAAGTGTGAACATATTTCCATCATTGGTAAATAAATTAGATCATCTGGCTGAGTACTAACGCAGATATGTAGATTATTTTATAATCAAGTAATTTTTTGGTCCACTCCGTATTTGAAACAATCCATATATGTTTTTATCGATTATAATACTTAAATAAATCTATTAATATTTAGAAAGCCTAAATATATCAAGAAAATGTCATTCGATGTTTTTTTTCTCATACTGCTCAATCATATATATGATATATAGAATTTATAAGACACCAGTAACATTTTTTTTTTGTGACTATTATTGTCATTTATATAATTTATTACAAGAGAAAATAACATTATGTTGAAACAAACATACCATTACTCTTTTCTTTCTATTGTAAATTTTCATTTAAAATTGTGTGACAAAATAATATTACATCTTGTTATTTTCAAGGCACATGGTTATTGTTAATGGAAAAATTAAATACGAACAAGTAACTTCCATTTATATAGCACTAACAACAGTTAATCAAGTTGAAAATTAATGTACTACATCACCCGATTGTATTATTGAGTCAATTGTTTATACTGTTTATTCAACAAAAAGTTCAAATGTTAAATATATTCTTTCATTAGCTAAGCTAACAAATAAAATTCAATACAATCTTATTAAGAAACCAACAGCTGTTTTGTAATAGAAATAATTCATGTATTGCTAAATCGTTTTTATGATATTTTATTGCATGAATAAAAATTAATTGAAAGAAACTCTTTGAAAAACATCTGAATACAAAAAATAAATAAATCCGATTTGTCTTATTAATAAATCTTAAAAGAAAGAAAACAAATAAAAAGTAATCATTAGTCGCAAATAAATATGTTCTCTTTAGTTACATTAAAGGAATGATAATTTATCAGTACACTTGTGTTTTCTAAAAATAAGTTTTATACTTTTCTTTTTCTAATTCAATTTAAATATTGTCCTGACATATATCGGAAATTGACAAGTATATCTGTTCTAAGTCTGCATATTCTATGAAGTTAGACTAAAAAAAGTAAAATTCTGCATTTGATTGTTAGTTAACAGCAAGATATATGAGTGTAAAATGATGTTTTGCAGATAGAAAAAGAAATGTGTAGTCTTTCTTTCTTCTTTTTCTTCTTCTAAGTAGCGTGTAAAGTAAATCTAATGTCCTCTAGAACACATCAACATCGACCAAAATCTTCAGGTTTGTTTAAAATTATAGATATATATATATATAAGGTTGCCTATGAAATTTAAAAATCCTATATTATAGTTAATGTAAAACAAGCATTTGAAGAACATGAAAATGAAGATAAATTAAATAATGAAGAAATAACTGATGAACATGGAACATTATATGATGTTAATGATACTGATTTTGATCGATTTTATGCAAGAGCATTCTTTACAGTAAATGATTCAACTGTTGAAGTTATTTTGGATAATGATATATTAAGTTGGTCAAGAGTATCTAATGAATGTAACTGAAAATATTTTTCCATAAAAAAAACTAAATTTTATTATTTAGCATCTCGAGAAGAAAATCATCAACGAAAAACTACAAATGAAGATCATTCAAACTCCATAAATATACATGATGTTTATGCTATATTACCTGTATATAATCAATATGGTTGGTATTTAAGTAATAATGAAAGACGAACAAGTATAACTGTATCAAATTTACCATTATCATCAAAATCACAATTATGTGGATTTCAATTATATTCCTATGAAAGAATAGATGATAATATTTTACAAGAAATTCAAATTATTTTTCAAAGTACTATACCTAATCAAATTCAACAATGGTATGAATTACTTTCAAAAATAATTTCAGAATGTATGTGAAAAGTTCAAAAAAACATTTTTTTTTTGTTTTTCTATAAAATATTATTCTTACAGATAAACCATCAAAAAATATACTTGTTATTTGTAATCCATATGCCGGATCAAAATATAGTCGACAAGTATATAATACAAAGATTAAGCCTATGCTAGACAGAGCACAATATAATATTAGTTATACAGGTAATTATAGAATGTAAACTTTTTTGATTAATATTTAGTTTAGAAATTAATGAACAATGTTCTGTTGATGATATATTGAATGATTTGAAAAGTGATTTGAATTCATTATATGGGTATGGAAAAGTTTGCATTTTAATTTGTTGATAATATTAGTTTTGTATCATTAGTCTGATTATTATTGGTGGTGATGGTTCAGTTATTCAAATTATTAATGCATTACTTCAGTATTTAGCAAAAGAAAATCAAGCAAGGTAAATGAGAATAATATATGGAATGAAGAAAAAAGAGCGATTTTTCATCTATCTAACGAGGGAAGGTCTCCGAGTGATTAAAGGCTTGAGAGCGCATATTATGCCCAGTGGTAGGGAATCTATTCTCCGGACGAGTCCTTCAGAGTTTGTTCTAGTTTATAAATGCCCTACCACTGGGCAAAATATGCACTGTAAAGCTTTTAATCACTTGGGGACCTTTCCTCGTAAAGGATAAATTCTCATTAATATTATTAAATTTATTATAGATTAGATATAGAAAATGATTTACCAGTTTTACCATGTCCGATATGTATTATTCCAACTGGTAAATTTCTAAATATGAATGATTTTATTAATATAAATTTTGTATTTTAAAAGGAACAACAAATATTATATGCCATTCAATTCATGGTAATATAGATCATTGTACACCAGTTTTTCATTTACTTTTTAGTAAGATTAAGATATAAGAAATATATTTTGTACAAATTTTAATGAGAAGAAAATTTTTAGATCAACAAATGAAAATTGATATGTCTGCAGTATTTGATGCTAATTATAAATTTGTAACTGCAAATTTTAGTGCTGGTGGTGGTTATCCAGCAAATGCTCTAAAATATTTTACACGTTATTCTTCATATAGTCCAAAAAAAATTCTTCAAAAATCATTTTTTAAAGCAGCTTCGAATAAAAATCTTAAGTAATTATTTTATTTTATATATAATAAAACATCTCATACTCTTTAAGTCCTATCAAGACTTTATATGTATGAGAAAGTTGATTATTGTCTATTTATAAATTTCTTTATTGTATAGACCCATTGAAATGGAAATTCGTTATATTCCTGCTGATGAAAATAGCATAGATACTCGTTGTTATCAAGGGTAAATCAATTTCTCTATAATTTTCTATAATAATAGGGTTTTTTATCTTCAGTTGTTCTGTTTGTTCCCCGAATATTGAAAAAACTGTTGATCAAGTGAAAATTTTTGATAATTCACATATTCAAAAGATGGATAAACAAAATAAATTTTTTAAATCAAAAACTAATGATAATAATCGTTCATTATCATCATCTCGAAAAATTTCTGCTCAACAAAATAATAAAAATAAACAATGGAAAATTCTTCATCATAATTATCTACATGTTGCTATATTAACCAATGCAAATTTATGGGTATTAGCACCACAAGGTCTATCGAAATTTGGCCATTTAGCAGATGGTTTATTAGATCTTATTTTAATTGAACAAACAACACGAAAGGAATTTTTACGTTTTATTAAACGTAATGGAAATTCTAAAAATCAAGTAAGAGAAATTCAATATGGATGAATTTATTTTATTTATTATCTTTTTCAGTATGAATTTTTCTTTACAAATTTAATTAAAGTAAAAGAAATCGAAATCGAACTTAAAGTTACCAATAATAATTCAATATATAGTAAAATATTCAATACTAATAATCAATTAGAATCAGATTCATCTAATGAAGAACATTCTGATCATGAAAATAAATCATCGTCTATACAAAAACATGACCCACATCCACCAAATGTGTCTATGTCAAATGATAATCGACATCATTATCATTCGAATAAACAAACACAAGAATCATTTAATAGTATGCGTCTATCAAACAATTCAAATCATCAAGAAAATGAAGATGATAGTTCACAAATCGATTCATCGAATTCAAAAGTACAACTTCGGCGAAGGAATATATTTCAATCATTAAAATTAAAAAAAGACAAAGTTTCTTTATCACGTTCATCAAGTGCGTATGGTGGTCAATATGTTCCTAAAAAAGAAAATCAACAATCATCAGACAAAACACTTCGACCAGCTAAAGTAAACATTTTTTAAGTAAATCTATTGACCTAGAAACGAAAAAAAAAACAAACAAAAACTTGACAATGAGAAAATTATTTGTTCAATTCTTCATTTCATATCTTTTTTTGATCTAGTCATTTATTAATTTATTAATCGGTGGTAATTCATCATCAGAAAAAGAAGGACAATCATCAACTATAAAACAAAATTGTCCTCCTGCTGTAACAAATGAAAGACGATCATCCGTAATTAGTCGATTATCATGTGTAGAATATGGAAAGAAATCAACATCTGTCAAAAATCATGGTCAAAATAAGAAACAAGAATGTATGTGGAATTTAGATTTTACTCCATATAATTTATCATTAATACGAATTAAGTAAGATAATGATGTTTACAAAATAAACAATTCATTATAATGATCAATATCTCCCTTTTTTTTATAGATGTTTTCATCGATTTTTACCAGTTTTTGGTGTTGGTTCTTATCCTGATACAGTATTAAAAGAAATTAAATATTCATGTTTTTGATGTATTATAGCTTTAATCAGATTCATTTTTCTTTTGAATTTCTTTAATAACTCATCATCTCTATAAATATTAACTGATAACAAAGTTTTTGAATTTAACTAATCCAATTAAAAACTTTTGTTAAAATCAATTGTGTCGCTTTTATGATGTATGTAAGCATAATAAATCTTCTATGTGAAAACAAATGAATCTATATAATATATGACATTTTTTGATAAGAAAACAAAATATAACAGACATAAATGTTCGCATCAAGTAATAAAAACTGAAATGTCTTCTAGATGATGTACTTGCATATTATAACATCTTCCACTCATTATACAATGCAGCATACAAGTACTCAGTTAAGCAGATGTTTTTTTGCTGACAAAACCTTATTGTTCATGTTAAAAATAGCCTCATTACATCTGATATTTTAATCCTATAGAGATTTGTTTCAATTATCTTTATTATGATAATTAACAAAAGAACACAAACCTTCAGACATATCCTCTTATCAAAAACGATATATGTTATATTTAAATTTAATCTAAAATAGTTTACCTATCTATTAGAAAGAAGAAGAAAAAAAAAGACTTGACAAAATTGATAACATATGTTTTGTGAAGAGAGAACTTCCTTAATAAAAAAAAATAATCTCCCCTTAAACAGTATATTATATAAACATGCATTTAACATGTGGCGCACTGTTATAGTCATACTATGGGAACAAACCTATTTATTTATTTAATGCTTTGCAAAGAAGTCAGTAAGATGTCATACTTTATTCTGATTGGCAGTAGAAAGAAAAAGAAGGAAAAAAAAAGACGCAAAAAACAAAGTGAAATGTATAAATATATGCATTATTAATCAATATATGTTTTTTTTTCTTTTTCATATGAATCAATATGTCATCAAATACGAATATAATTTGGCTGCAAAGTAATCAAGACGAACCTATTACTTATGAACTTCGTTCTCATGTTGCTCTATTTGATAATGAAGATGCATGTTATCAATTTCTATGTTCATTATCACCAACAATACGTGGATTAACACTTGTTGTTACTGATCCAACAATATCAACAGATCGTCTTATAAAATTAAAACAAATATCAATTGTCTATATACTTTCATCATCAATATCAAAATCACATATAAAAAGTTCAGCAAAAATTCATGGACTTTTTGATGATAAAAAAACTTTAATAGAACAAGTTTTAACTGATTTAAATCGTAGAAAACCAAGTGAACCAGGATTTTTAACTGGTATTATATCACCATTTCAAGGTTTTTATTTTATTCTAACAACTTCATCAACATGGTCACGGGCATTAGTACCTGCTATTTTATTTACATTACTTCTCTTTCTTTTTGCAATACCAGGAGTATGGGCAATGCACATACTTACAAACCGTTTAATACAAAAATATAGTTCGCGTTTCATACGTGTTGGGATATGGTTACTTCGTTTTGTACTTTATATAGTTGCTATATGTCTTTCACTAATAATTGCACTTCTAACAGCTCAACCATTAAGTTCACCAGCACTTGAAAGTCTAATACGTGCACAAGAACGTCATTTAAAATATCCAAATCGTCCAGAAGAATCATTTTGTTCTAGTATATGGCGTAGTTTGCGTGTAGCTGTGATTTCAATGTTGATTTCATTTGTTATTTTTATTATTTTAACTTCAATAGAATTCTTTTTACCACCAGCTATTATAATAACAACTCCATTAAAATTTCTTACAACTGCCTTTATTATTGCATATGATATTATTGATTATCCATTATCATTACATTTACTTGGTGTACGAGAACGTATACCATGGTTTAAACATTATATATGGGCAACACTTGGTTTTGGTTTCGCAATGGAAATTATATTTCTTATCCCAGGAGCATTTTTTCTTTTGTTACCATCTGGTATATGTGGTGCAACTCGTCTCGTTGTTGCAGCTGAAAGAGCATCAATACATCAACCATTATTATCATCAAAGGATGAGTCTACTTAATATGAAGAAAGTTTAATAGAATAAATTTTTTTTGTTTTTAGTTAGTCAGATTTGTTTTGTTTTTGATAATACTTTATTTTCTTTCATTTTTCAAAAAAAATAATACTAATAATAAAACAAGTAGTCAAGATGTGATCAAAAATTAAAATATATTTGATAAACGATCATAAAAAAGTCAGTCAAAAGACTACAAATGATTTAATTGTGTCAATATTATTATCGTTGTTTCGTCAAGGTTATGAAATAGTCAATAAATAAAAGACATAGAGTTTTATCGTCTATATACAAAAAAACACAAAAATGAAATGTTATTAAAAGAAATCGTATTCTTTCGATGAAACTTGACACAATATGCAAAATAACTATAGATTCTTATTTTTCAAAATAGTTCTAGCATGATAAGTGTTATTCTTTTTCGATCAGGTATATTAAATCAAAACGAAACATTTACGACGTGATTCTCATTTGAATAAAAAAAACATTCTTTCATGCATACTAAATTATAACGTGTAAGAATGTATATATTACTACTCCATTGTAATACTAGAACGTATTTTCTAAATTTCAACTATTAAAATCGATGACAATGTATATTCATGAATGAATAGTAACATGATATTAAAAAGCAATTCACACTGTCTACAAACATACTATCGTTCATATACATGTTAACTCTTCGCAATATAGTATTATATTACATGATATAACATCTATCGACATCTATTTGAATACTATTGCCATCTATCGAATGTTCTGTTAGTAACGGTTTTTTTATGTAAACTATTATGAAAAAATATATAGAATTTTAAAATCAAATATGTTTGTATTGATTTTTAGTATTAAATAGATATGCTATTTACGGAGGTTTCAACTCGATGCTTACTTGCTCAATACAAAACAAAGACCGCAATTATTACTCATTGTTATTGGCGCTACACTCTCGATCGAATCACATTGATTATAGCGCTTAATGATTGATTTCATGCAGCTATATCATCTACGTTATAAACGAACAAAGCTCGTCTTTATAAGTGTATAATGCTGAAGGCATTGTGAGAAAGGATTGAATTGAATGGAAACGGTGACCTATTGTCAATAGAAGGGCAGATGATTGTATGTTTAATCAATCTTGTCTTATGATTTTATCTTCATTAGTAATATATCACTGCATATATATATAGTAACTGTCAAAATTATACTAATATATTGTAGAGAAAGATGAGCGTTTTTCTTTTCTTTCGTACTATCAAGAGGAGCGAACATTTGTTTCTCGTTATCTTGCGCAATACCAAAATTATCTTTTATTTTAGACGATTGCCGTCATTTCAGATAGAATTAATTGTTTAATTTTACTTTTGACATAACACTTTTTTTTTCGAATACAAAAAAAAACATGGCTAGTCGATCATCAGCAGCCGTACGAAGCCGTACTTCTTCAACAGCAGGTAGCACAGGTGGATTAAATATTTCTCGTGCACAAGAAAAAGAACAATTGGAAACTCTTAATAATCGTTTGGCTGTATACATTGATACAGTACGTCGTTTAGAACAAGATAATAAAGAATTAAAGGTAAATTCAATTGTTTTTTTTTCTTAGATAAATATTCATAATAATTTATTTGTATTTTATTAGAATATTATTTCATCCTATACCGATACCTATGAAGTTGAAACATCGAAAGTTAAATTATTATATGAACGTGAACTTGAAGATGCAAAAAAATTAATTGAAGAACTTGCAAGAGAAAAGTCACGTTTAGAAATTGAAGCTGAAAAATCAAATGCCGAAGCACAAGATGCATTGGCAAAGTATGTGCTAAAAAATGTTTTTCGTAACTTTTATTTCTAAATAAATGCTTGTATTTTAGACTTGCTCGTAAAGAACGTGATTTACGAGCTGCCGAAGGACGTTTGAAACAATATGAAACTGAAATTGGAGAATTAAAAGCACGTAATGAAGCACTTGGATTTGATGCAAATCGAAAAACTGATGAGAATGTGGTAAGTTGGAAGATAATAAGACTATTTAACAATGACTAATGATAGTTAATAACTATGAGTAATGACAGATTGATGCTATTTCCTGTATAGACAACGGCTTGTTATGAATATTGACATCGATTAAGTCGTGATAGAAGTTAGAGAATGTTGAAAGATTTTAATTATTGTAATTATATCTTTTGTGCGATTTCTTGAATAAACTACATTGGATTTAATTTACTGATTCTTTATATTTGCTATTTGAAGGGTTTACGTGGTCTTAATGCCGATTTGGAAAAACAAGTAGCTGCATTAAAACGTCAACTTGAATCTGAAACACTTCTTCGTATTGATCTTGAAAATAAAAATAAAACATTACGTGAAGAACTTCAATTCAATGCTCAAGTTCATGAAACAGTAAGTATAAAAAGTTTTATTTCTTTTTTTTTAAAAACAACAAAAAAAATTAATTTTTTTTCAAGGCTATTGATGAAGTTCGTCGACAAAGACGATATGAAGTTAGAGCTGATGATGGTTTACGTCAACAGTATGATGATCGTTTATTACTTGAATTACAAGAATTACGAAATCAAACTGATGAAGAAATGCAAGCTTTACGTGATGAAATAGCTGGACAATATGAAAAGAAAATTGAAGATTTACAAACAACAATTCGTCGTAATTTGGATCAAGTTGGTACATATCGATCTGATTTATCATCTTATCGTGAACGTATCGATGATATAACAAAATCTCGTGATGCATTAAATGATAAAGTTTCATTTCTTGAACAACGTTGTCGTGATTTGGAAGATCGTCTTCATCGTTCACAACAAAAACAAGATGAAAGTTTAGCTGAACGTGAAGATGAATTAGAACGTTTGAAATTACAAATTGAACAAATGCAAATTGATTATCAAAATTTACTTGATATAAAAATTGGTCTTGATAGAGAAATTGCAACATATAGAAAATTACTTGAATCCGAAGAAGAACGACTTAATATTTCTGGCAATTTATCAAATCTTACATCAACAACAGCATCAAATACAACATTTGAAAGTAGTTCATATCCATCACGTAAACGTCCACGTTATGATGCAGATGATCGTCCATCAGTTAATACACAATTACTTGATGGCATCAATATAATTGATGATGATAGTTCTCATCCAAAATTTGTTAAACTAGTTAATAATTCTAAACAAGATGTTGCTTTAAATGGATGGGTTCTTAAACGAAAAGTTGGTTCACAATCATATGAATTTAAATTTCCTAAAGGAATGAATCTTAAAGCTGGCGCTACAACAACGGTAAGATAAAATTTATTTTTAGGAATAAAAGAGAAGATTAATTGAATATTTTAGATTTGGAGTTCCGATGTTAATGATATATCTGTTGATCCACCAACAAATTTGAAATTACGTACAACAAAATGGTTTTCAACTAATAATGAAGTTAAAAAAACAATACTAGAAGATTCTGAAGGACGCGTAAGTTTAGAAATTAGTTGATTATATTTACTAGATAATTTTCTTTTCTTTTTTGATTTATTTAGGTTATTGCAGAGAAAACTGTTAGTGTTAAATAAAAATAAGACAAATCAAAAAAAAAAGAAGTTTATTGATGTGTTTATGTGTAAAAATATTTCTTACAAATATTCTTGATGTAGTTTTCAAAAAAGTTTTGTCTTTATTCAAGATATATGTGTGGTATTTTCTCTCTTTCTTTTATATTCATATACTAGTAGAGATTTAATAAAAGAAAAAAAAATAAATAAAGAAACCGATTATTGATTTTGAATGTTTTTCTTTTCTTGTGCACATTTAAAATCTTATTTTCTTGTCTCTTGTGTTCTTTTCTTTGCTTGAAAATAAACTGTATTGTAAACGTTTAACTATTTCATGCTTTTGTTGTCTATTATTATTGATTTTTTTTCCAATCTAGAAGATTTATTAGGTTTTTTTTTCTTGTCATCATTGTTGTTGTCTTTTTCTGATTAGTAAATTAAACATTGCTAAGAAACAAATGAATTGATTCAATTATAGTGTGTAGATAGATAGAATGATTTATTAGTATTATATAAAAATTCGATAAATCTCATGAAGAGTTATTCATAATTTCAAATGAAATGTAAAACTAATATTTTAATTAAAGAATATGTCGAAGTTGACTATTCTAGAAAAAAATATGACTTCATCACTTTAACGACTTTTTACATTAAATATATTATATTATTTCTATATACGTAATTGGTAGCATCTGTTCTTTCCAAATAAAGAATACTTCAATGCCAAATTCTATTAATATTCCTTTTGTTTTTTTTTCAATATTTGCAAACAGAAAATATCAAAAAAGCTATGTATACACATTTAATGTACGAACAAATTAAGTCAATTTGTTGACTGATATTCTACTTGACCTAATGTGCAAATATGTCATTTGCACATCAAAAATACGGTTACCGCTTCTCTCCCTCTTCTATTTATTTTTCTATCAAATAAGTATTAGTATTTATGAATAATTTAATTCTTTTAAAAGAACAATGAAATAATAAAAGATAATTTTAAACAGTATGATGATTTTGATAAATAAAATTTTTTAATTTTTTATATTTAGGAAATATTCCTATCCAATATTGACTTTCAATATAACTAAGAAATAAATTTTTTGCTAAATGTTTGCCAATTTGTCTTAATTGAAATTTATAATAAAAATAATCAGTTATTTTAATAAAATCAATATCTTCAATAACAAATACAAGATGATAAAGAAGTATATTATATGATTCTATTTTATGTAAACATATATAAGCACGATCAATTGAACATTGTTGTTTTAAAATATTATTTCTATAGATTGACACATGAAAATCTAATGGAGATAAAACAATACGTCGTTGTTGAAAATTTTCAATCAGATTTAAACATAGAAATATCGTTAAGAATCCAAATATAAATAATAAAAGAAATTCGGAACCTGATATCCAATATTCATTTATATTCAACTGATAATAAGTATATAATGTTAATATAAAGATTATTATTTGCATAATAATTAAGAAATAGATTGTTGACCAACAACGATATTTATATTCAAATGTATATGATTGTGTATATGTAAAAGGATAATATGGATTTAAACGAAAATTTTCTATAAGTTTATCACCAAACTATACGGAAAAAAAGAAAAGTAAATTTTTTATATGATTATTCAAAATATATATGAATATACAGGATCATAGGATGTTAGAATAATTGAAAGTAGTGATCGAAATTTGTTAATAAATCGTTGATGATATGATAAGGCGGCCATTCAACGAAAAAAAATGAGAATTCCTCCATATCATACAATGAAATTCTGTTTTATTGTTAACAATCTTTCATTTATAATCAATTTAAATACATGATCCTCATCTGGTTTCGCGCGTCCTACTCTCTTTAATAATCAGAAACTTTTCCATTTATCTGATTCGATACAAAAACAAAATACTGAATAAATGTTAACTTATTTAATACTATAATCTTTTAGATTTATTTTGAACATGAATCATTTCATTTATTTTGTAAGAAAATCTACTCGGTTTTTTCTCCGCAATAGAAATGATTCATATAAAACATGTGATATTTTATTAGAGTACTTGGTAAAAATAAAAGTTTACTTTTGTCATCATATTTTAATTCAATATTGATTTTTAAGTGCTATTTATCTTGATTATGTCAAACAGTAACAATGTGAAAATTTGAATTAGATTTGGACAAACAATATTTTTCTCGTTTATGAAAAGGAAAAAAACTATGATGTCAACATTTTTCATGACATATGTTGTTCTTTCATCAAATTGCATCAGATGTTCTGTATTGTACGACGAAATAATTACCAGGGTTTTTCCTATCGAATGCATATATAAAATTTTTTTATATGGAGTCAACGATGGTTTGAGTGGTGCACGTATTTTTTTATTATCACCTTTTTAGTCGAATGAATCTTCGATACTAATACTATTTGACAAGTCTATTGTATTCTTTTTGAATAAACGCTCTGCAAAAAGAAAAATATTGACAAAAACGAACATTGCGTGAGAAATAAATACAGTGACACAATTGAATTTCAGTTTTATTAAGAAAAAACTAAGAAGTACTTCAATTAATAACCTCAAACTAGTGTAACGTTTAATAATAATATATAACCTTGAACATATATAATGTTGACTTTAATTTGATTTCTTTGCTTGATGAAAATGTCTCATAGAAAAAAAAAAAAAAGGTAGAAAATATTCTGTTCTTTTATGTTGATGCTTCATTCCAAGGACAATATACAATTTACCTGAAATTAAAAATACTCATTAATGTAAGTGTAAAATACTTGTGTAGTTATTAAATACGTGTATATATTTAATAATGAACGGTTTTTTATTCTAGTTCACCATAATGAAAATTTCACATTGGACAAAAAAAAACTCAATTTGTTATTTTGTCTGAAAATTCATATGAACAATCTTCAATCAAAAAACTTTTCGTTGATCACAACGAAGAAACTAAAAATTTGATTTGAATTACTTTAAAGTTACCCAGTTGACACATTTCTTTTTTTTCTTGTTTATTCTATGCAATATTCTATTAAAAGAAAGCATAATAATAATAATAATGCCGCAAAAAAGTACTTCAAGTTTAAATAAGACAAGGTTATATTGTTTCTTCATCTATGACAAGTTTTAGATATTATTTATATGCATTTGAACATATATTATTATGAGTGTGTATCAGTGCATTAAATCAACATTTTTCTAGACAATTCATATTATGTTTAATGCACTGATAAATTATACTCGTTTTAAAAATTTTTAACAATAACATACTTCTTCTTTTTTTTTCTCTTCCGATTTCATACATAATGAATCACAATATTACGCGTACAGAGAGTGCGGCATGGATTTTTCTCGATTTAAAGTAACAGAATTCCTTCTTCGTCTTCTTTTTTTTTTGTATGTTCTAGTAAAAGACTATATTAGTGAGTGTCCTTGACACGTTGTATCCATAGTCACATATGTGTATGTTGACTATTTTTACTAACAAGTAAAAATAAAAATTTTTTTAACTAACTAGCGCCCTCAATAATACATCTGTCAAACTCCTTTCATCAATTGGCCGTTTCGTATACTCCAATCCGTATTGAACAAGAAGTTTTCCCAAGCCAACACGTACTCACACAACAGAACACAACACATGTACACATACTCACAATCCGGTATATTCACCTTGTGTTCCGCCTCGATGCTTTTCTGTTCTTTTTTTTCTCTTCACATTTTTCTAAACACGACATTGACCATGATACACCTCAGTGTTATCAATAACTTGTGATTAATATTACCTTATGAAATCTTCTTTTTTTTTCTTTTACTAGATGACATTTTATTTTTTCCATTTTTTGAACAAATTATTCATCAATCGCTTAACAACCAAATTATAAAAAAAATGTTCTCAATTATGCTACGAACAAATAAACAATCAACAAATAATGTTTTATATTTTTTACATATACTCTTTTTATTACATATATACACAGCATTTTTAACTATTGTTAATTCATTAAACAATAATGATAATGAAGGTTAGATAAAAATAGCAATTTGGAAATATTCTTATTTTTAAAAATCCTTTTCTTTTCTATAGCAATTATTCAGCTATCTGTCGATACAATTCATGTTGTTAAACCATCTGATCCTCGTTTCTCCGTAAGTTTGTTTTTGTTGGAAATAAAAAAAATAATTTATTTTATTTTTATCTCTATAGAATATCGAAGAAAATGCAAATGATGATGATGAAAAAGAATTGCTTATTGCATTATTAACTTCATTTGATGATGATTATAAAAATACAAAACAAAATAATCTGGAAAATTCTTCTGAAACAAAGATTAATAATGAATTTTCAGATTCAAATAATTGTACATCATCAACTGCAGCTACAATTGCATCATCATCATCTGTATCAATACGTTTTATTCCACCATTGCTTGATTTTGGTGAACAGTAAGTTTTATTCAATCAATCAATTCTATACAACAATAAATAATTCTAAATTTTAGATCAATTGCTATACCACGTATGCAAACAGTACTAATCATTAATGATGATCCTGAACCACTTGAACTTCAATCATTATCTGGTACAACAGTTCAATTTTATTCATCATTTTTTACACAAAAAACTCTTTCATCCAATGGTGGAAATACATCGATAAATGTTTATTATTTACCACGAACACTTGGTCTTACAAAAAGCATATTTACAATTAAGACCAATCGTGGTACTTTACATTATTATGTAAGTTATAAATTATTATTTTTCTAATCAATCAATGTCATATATATATTTCTTTTCTTCTCTCTTTAAAGGTTAATGGTATTGGTACAATAAGTCTATTTCATTTACGTCCATTAATTGGTGCAACAATACCATTAAATTCAACATTTGAATATATTATACATTTCTATAATCCATATAATTATTCAATAGATATTAATGAAATTTATACAAGTGATGAAAATTTAATAATTGAATTATTATCATATAAACAACAAAGAAATAAAATAATAAAAACATTTGAACATAAAGATCAATGGCATTTAGAACCTTATCAAGTTAAACCAATAATAAAAATAAATTATTTTGCTTATAAATTAGAACGTTTACATGGATTTTATTGTATTAAAACAAATTCAAATGATACAATTATTGTACCTGTTGAAATTAATGTTGCAAATCATTTAAGTCTCTATTCAAATGTTGATTTATTAGAATTTACTCCTGATAATTTAATACGTTCAACAGCTAGACCAGTAACTATACCAGTGTATGTTATTAATAATGGAAGAGAACCGGTGACTATTATTGTAAGTTAATTCATAAATTAAGAAAAAAAAACAATTTATTCTGTTTTACGAAAATATAAAGTACAATAAATCAGTTTTGTTTGTCTTAGAAACGTGGACAAAATTTTTTTTGTGAAGTATTACACTATTTGCGTCAACAGGTCGTTCATTTTTTTTCTCTCCCGACATAGCTAACAGGCAATCTTTTAACTTTTAAGTAAACAAAATTGCATTAAACAGTAAAACACTTGAATAATATTCGTATTGTAGTCTTTCATAGAATAAACTGAAAATGTTTATACATATTTGTATTTTTACAAAAATACAATAAAATATCTAGGATAAAGTGTTAAAGCATGAAAACAATTATAAGAAGTTTTTTTAACCAAATATTCTACGAATAGTTACTTCCAGGCTATTTTTTTAACTTTTCTAATGATAATTATTTGTTTCTTCGGAGAATATTCTAGGGTTTTTTTTAAAAGCCACAAAGATAAGAAAATTTATTATGTCTACTTGTCATCATAAAATATTATCAAAAGAAAAACATTGTAAAGTTAATTCTTTGAATAAATTTTTCTGTTCTGTAATTTGAAGTACTTACTATCGAATTACTTGATTATCTACTGAAATTTTCGTTTAGGATGTTCGAGTTACAACAGCTAATATAAATTATGTAACAATTCATCATGAAAAAGTTCAAGTACCTTCTAGTATTAATCAATTAACTAAAATAGCTGAATTAACAATTCATCCACATTTAATTCCTAATGATATTAAACGTGTTCGTGGTTCAGTTCAAGTATATACATTATCAACAACAACATCATCATCATCATCATCATCATCAGATAGTGACCAACCTATATTACAAATTCCATTTCGTGCAACAATATTACATGGTTCACTTGATTATGATACAGGAGCAAGTTATTTTTACATTCCAGCAACTTCGACTGATTCAGTTAGTGGTAAACTAGAAGAACATCGATTACTTAAATTAATAAATCGATTCAATACGTCCATAGTTCTATTCAATGTAACAACAGATAAATCCAACATACTTGCACAATATATTGACGTAAATTCAATTTTTTTGTTAATCTCTTAATTTCTATGGGCTTGTTTTTTGTCTTATAGATAAAACTTTTGGCACCGTACGTATATATGAAACCAGGTCAAACGAAATTTCCTATATCTGCTAATATTCTCAAACGAACAGCATCATCAGCACCATTTAACAATATTGAAGCATCACTTACATTACATACAAATCTATCATTTTTTCATTTACCTGTTTATTTATATAATGGATTACTCAGCGTAAGATATTTTTGTTATTCCTACTAAAACTAATTACATCAAAATATGAGAAAAAAACATTCTGAAAATTAATTAAACAACTTCTATGTGAATCTATGCAATTATCATGATTCAAAAATAGATACTTTCTCATACTATGCTCTCTTAACTTGTTCTTTTGTCAATTAATTATGTATAATTTTTTGTTTAGCTTAATCCCGTAGTTGACGGTACAAATGGCGGTATTAGACGTAATGACTCAAATCTATTCGAATACTTCATAGCAAGTATACCGGTGAATGCATCACGTACAGTAAAATTCACATTAACAAATATAAATCCAATTGATATAAATATTGAAAAAATATCATTAACATTACCGAAAACAACTATACAACTTGTTCAAATGCAGTTTATGAATGGTAGTGAAAGTAATGCCGTCTATAAACGTATATATCATAATAGTGATATAGTAGAAGTAAGATTATTTAATCAAAACAAAATTCAATTTCTAATATATATATATTTAATTGAAGCTTGTTATTCCTGTTCGTCATCAAGCAATCTTTTCTTTAACAATAAGTGGATCAAGTGATCCATCATTTTATAATGAAATGATTACTTTTAAAACACGTTATGAAGTAAAATAAAAAAATCTATTTATTTTATATTTCTAATTGCTTCTTTTTTTCCTATATAGACTATCAATATGAATGTGAAATATCGTATTATTAGCGGATCAATTGATCTTGAAAATAAACTGCCGTTACATATTGATGTATTTCCAGTAAGAAAACATTTTTCGAGAAAAATAAAATCATTTTTTATCAAATTCATTTTTTTACTAATAGAATCGTTTGGGAACAATCGATATTACTTTACATAATCGATTTGATGAACCAACGGATATTACGCGTATGGAATTTCCAACATATGGCAATTGTTTTTCATTTATTTGGAATACAACAGGACCAAATAAACTTATTATCAACGCAGATTCTACTCATCAAGTAGATTTTTTTTTGAAATAATTAAATATTTAAAAATTCTTATGTTATATTTAGATCGGGAAACTTACTTTTGATATGGTATCATTATGTAATAGTATTCAAATACCATCAGAATCAACGTGTTATTGTGGTCTAAATAATCATCCAGAATTTAAACAACGATGGGAACAACATGTATCTGCATTAAATACATATGAACTTGATGATATATTAGTAACAAAATTTCGAAATCTTTGGAAAGAATGGACTTCACTTGTTCGAAAACAACGGTAATTAAAATATAAATATAATGAATTTTTCTTCTATTATGTTCTGAATAATTATTCATTTAGTATTCAAACAAATATTTGGCTTGTAACAGATCAAGCTGATGTATCATGGCCAGTAACAATAGGTTTTGTTTGGCCATCTGTATTGGAATTTATGACATCAACAGTATCACGTACACCGATTATTATTGATTATCATCTTACATTACTTAATACAACAAAAGTAAATGATAAATTTTAATAAAAAGATTTTTTTTGTAATTTATATTTTAGGCACATAATATTGTTATAACAAATCCATCTTCAACTATTCTTCAATATTCCGTTGAACTTGTCAGTCATTATGAAAATAGAAAAGCTAAAAAAAAAGGAAGTCTAGTTAAGAATTATCAAGCATTCGATATTTCAACGGTATGTATTAAATTTCATAGATTAACTAACATCAGAAGCGCCAGACAAATAGTTCAATTTTAGAAGAAAAAAAACCTCGTTAAACAATCGTGATTGATTTCATCGATTAGTTTTTTTGCGAGATGATAGAAATCAGAAAATATTTCATTGACATAATCTCACATTCAAATACACAAATTAAGAGACGAATAAAAATTACTTAATCATTTATTTACATCGTAAATCACGTAAAACATATATTGACTTTCTCATATTCATCTGTATGTAGATTTAACTAGACAAATAAAATAATCACATAATATAACAATTAAAATAAAATTTCCAAGCTGTGTAATAAATAAAAAAAATTGAATTATTTTCTGCAGGGAAAAGAATATAGTATTTAAATTAATATTTCTATTACAGACATTCAAACGAGTGGAATTACTTAATGATATATATAAATTTATACTTCAACCTAATGAACAGATTACGTTTACTGCATCCTATCGACCGAAATTATCAACAAAACATGAAATATATTTTGTTGTTCGGTATGTATATTTTTATTTCTAGTAAAAATAATTTACAACTTTGTGTCTTTCTTAAGAAATAATTTAACTATAATTGAATCAATACTTTTACGTGGTGAAGGTGGTAGTGGCAGTTTAACAGTTGGAAATCGTAAAGCTGGTTCATCCGATATTCCACTTGTTTTAGAAATGAACGAAAAACAATACAAACTGTGTTCAAGTATAATTTTATTTCGAAACAAAAAGCTAAATCATACAATTTTAACTTTTGTTAGGTTATCATTCTACAGATAATTCAGGCGGAAATCCAATTTTATTAAAAATAGTAACACTTCGTAATACAGGAAATATCCGAGCAATTATTCATGATTTATCATTTGGTAATTCGAAATGTAATGGACAAGGTTTTTCAGTAGATACATGTTCAGAAATAGAAATTGAACCAAATGAACGTTATGATCTTCATATTCGGTAAAATAACGAAGAAACAAATAAAATAACTTATTTTTTGAATATTTTATTTTTATTAGCTTTCAACCAGATTATACATTAGCTGAAATAGCTGAAACTTTAACATTAAATACAAATATTGGCGTTATGACATTCCCAATTATTGTTCGAATACCACAACGTGTATTAGCAACATGTTATCAAACTATTCCACGTCCTGTATGGGAAATACGAATGTATTGGTTATGTGTAGTTTTTGCTGTAATTCTATTTATATTCGTTATCGTAACAGCTATTTATGCAGCTCATAGATTATATCATGATGTAAATAAAATGAAATTTTGTTATTTAAATATTTATGTATGTTTTTTATTTTAGTTCCTAGCTCGAGCAGAACTTAATTGTCGAATGACAACATCAACTTCGAAATTATTTAATCTTAATGATGTAGCTCCAACTGTACAAGATGAACAAAAAATGCCGTAAATTAATAATAAAGATAGAATTTAGTAAAAATAAAAATTATTGAATTTTATGTTTTTAGTGAACGATATGAAGCACGTACAATAAATAATAAGAAAGAAATATTAAAAGATGAAAATAAAATAAAAGATAATGAAATGAAATCTAAACGTGCGACTGTAACAACTAATGGAAATAAAGAAAATGGAGAAATACCACCGAAGGTAATTAAATATTTATGATAAATATTGATTTCATACTTTATCTATAGACACCAAGAACTCCGGATGGATCGAATACAATTGTTAAATCGGTAGCAGCTAGTCCAAAAGCGATTACAAATAAACAACGACGAGTAACAACAGAAAATGGTCCATTAAAAGTAAATAAGAAATCTTCTATTCATACGATAGAAACAGAATTTAATGATTTAAATATAAAACTATTTATTTATTTCAGTCTTCTAAACAACAAGACACATCAATTAAAACACAACCATTAAAATCACAAAAATCAGGTAATACTGAACCATCAACTGTAATAACATCACGTTCATCAACTCCTCCTTCGAATGTTTCATCGATTGCTGTAACTGATGAAGAAAATGAACCATTTACAGTATGTTAAAATAATTTTCAGAAAAAAAAGTAATTATTTGAAACCTTAATCTATTAGGTTCCTCGACCAAAACGTGTATCAGGCAAAACAAAAGAAACAAGTTCTAATACTGTACCCATTAAATCGACAACAACAATTCCGGTTAGTGTTATTCCATTACAACCAACACCTTCGCCACCACCACCACCACAAACAACAATTCCAAAATCATCATCTACACGTTCTGAACTATCTGAACAACGACAGCATCAACAAGAATTATCACGTTCAAGTGATTCAATCAATGATCAACAATGGCATATGGTCAGTTCTAATCGAAGTCTACGCAAAGGAACAACTAGTACAACTACTGGTCGACGTGAAACAGCAGATGAATTTCAACCAATACATAAAACAAATAAAATAGCCTCAAATAACGCTGGTAAGAATCTTTTTTTTACTTTATTGAATGATATGAATAATTCACAAATTTGTTCTTCACTTTGAATGTATTTGTATATATTCTTCTTCTTCTTCTTCACCTCTGTTTGATGTTGTTTGTTCTGTTTGGTATCGGCTTTTTTTTATAGAAAATCCAATGGTATCATCAATATCATCATCTCGCACGCATACTTCTGTGTCTAATCAAATGACACAGACACGTCGTCGTCGAGGACGGCGCCCAACACGTCCTCTGTCGCCTACGCACGCTCCTAATTTAACAAAAGGAACGAGTTTACAGCCTAATAATTCACTACGTGTTAATAATCGAGAACTGGCATTTCGTCAGTTAACTGAACAGTTATGGGCAGCTGGATTACCGTCATCAGCGACGGCTTGTTCTATGTCTGTACGTTCACGTTGCTCATCAGCACCACCGTCTGAACGTGGTGGACGTAGAGGTGGTTATGATGATGAAGAAGAAAATATCGATTGGGATGAACCAGATAAACCTGATGATGGTAATAGTAATAGTAGAAAAAAACGACTTATATTTAATCTTTTTTTTCAATACGCTATCTATCTTCCACGCACATATATACATGCTTATTGCTTACATGACTATTGATTGTGCTTGCTTTGCTCGCCCGAACACAAGTCATATTTAGATGAATCAAATACATAAATGCTTTTAGTTTATTTTTTATAAGTGATGACTTCATTATAACAAATGAGAAAATCGAACCAAGTTGTTTTTCTCATTTCCTTCTCTTTTTGTTCTGCTTTAATACTCTATCACAAAAAAAAGAAAAGGTGTTGGTGTTTTTTTTTTGTCTACATATTGTTTTTCTTTGTCACTTTTTTTTCGTATTCTGTTCTCTCCACTTCACTCATTCGGTGCAGTATAAAAAGGCAATGTTTGTCAATATTATATTTGAGAACATCTAGAGGGAGGCAAACAAAACAGCAACAACATATGTTATAATAATATAATTTAAAACTAATTTCCTACCTCTCTCTATTATTTAATTCTTAATTTAACGTACACTTTAATCTTTTAAAAAAATTTTAATTTAAAATGCTTAATTTAATGCCTTTTTTACCACCGAGTGAGTTTTACAAATATATATATATATATGTATATATGTAAACATACAAAGAAATTAATTTTATCATCTATTATAGACTTTGGGCGATATGCTTCACAAACAGAACAATGTATGGAAGAATCTAATGGTATCAATGAATGGACACAACAACCACCATCATCATCGACAACAACAACAATCAATGAAATTCCAGCACTTATGTCTATACCAGCAGCACCAGTGCTGTTAACAAATATTCCATCAAAAATAATAATACCTGCATCAATTGTTAAAGAAGAGTAAGAGAAAACACTAAAATTTATCATATTAACATACGCGTAAAGATATAAGCTGTTGAGTTAATTGGCGATGAAGACTATTCAGCTACTCGATTTATGTCTTTAATAGAAAAAGATTTGTTCTGATAAATTTAGATGATATGCAAATATTTGTATTAGTTAATTGTTCGAGTTGCGAGCCTTGCTAATTTGAATATCCTCACGAATATATAAAGAAATTAGTAACTCATTTTTATATATAACTTTCAAATTCATTCATATCTCTATATAACACTTATTTCGAGAATCTCATTTTACTATACGACTTCTTGCTTCCGTTGACTAATGAGAAGTACGTAGAAAACTTTTTTTCATGTAGTTTCAAAAACTTTGAATCGATTAATTTATATCTCTATATAAATATTATATTTTCTTATAGGATTGAACCATTACCATTTCCACAACATGGCCCGGGTCCAATACAACGACCAAATAAACTTATATGTGCACCAACACAACAGACATTACCTTCATTTTCAACAAATTCTCTTCAATCACCTGAAACACCTGATGTACTCGATCAAATTAATCGTTTTTTAAATACTCAAAATAGTACTTCAGAAACAACCCCAACAACAGTTTCAACACCATCAATTGTTCATAATTCATCTGTACCAGTAAATGATTTAACAACATCAAATAGTCCATGGACAACATTTTCACCATCAGAATGGCCATCAAAATATGAAACATCATGGTCATTAACAAATATTCAGAGTCCTACAGTATCATCAACAACAACACAAGTACAAAATCCATTTGCATTTATGTCAACAATGAATGGACAACCACGACCAGCAACAAGAGTAGACCCAACTATTTGGTCATCAGTATTAGGAACAGAAACACCACGTATGTTATCAGCAAGTGCACGTACATTACGTGCTTCAGCATGGAATGATGCATTTTCATCAACTGTACCTTCGATTGTAGAGCCTCCGAAACCAGTAAATAATACTTGGTCAGCATTCTGGCCTGTATCCGATCCATCATCAGCAGGTGGTGCATCATCCAATGGACCTGAAACAGAAACAAATAATCAAGTAAAATTTCTTTTTCTTAATCGAAATAAATATCAAAAAATTATGTTTTTTTTTCCTGCTTAGTTATGGTCTTTAGGTGGCCTACCTAATGAAACAGTAATTTCATCAACAACACCAACTCAACAACCATCGTCAACTATGTGGTGGTCAGGTTCATCATCTGATGAAAATAATAATAGAAGTCAAACAAATCAATTAAATGATGATACAACAAACAATCGTGATAAATCTCGATGGGATTTTGCTCGTTAAAAATTGTTTATAAAATTTTATTTGTGCTTTGATATTTCTTCACCCGTGACAAGTCTTTGATAAGATTTTAAAAAAAAAAGAAAAAAAAATGGTTTGCTATTCAAGATTGATTGTATCTATCAGTTTTGTTTTTTTTTGTGTTTTTCTTCATTTACTACTAATCATATTTTAATTGTGCACTCAATTCGTACAAGATCATACAAATGCGCAATTTCTTCTTTCGTTTTATGTAAAGTGTGCAAAAGGAAAAAAAAACTATAATATTAATAATAATAAAAAATAAAAATTTCAGCTATGACAAATTAATTGTTACATCGTAGTCTTTATTGATCTGATGTTTATCAACAGAAATGAAAGCATACATTAGACAAGCAAAAAAGAACTGGTGAATTAACTTTTACTTTTAATATCTTTTTATATAGTAAACAATCTAACAACTGTATTTTTATTTTTATTTACATGCAATGTTTTTCTTGCTGTATCGATCAGGACTACTGGTAGTTTCGTAGACGATTTCATGCAATCTGGTATTCTTTTTGCTGATAGGTATATTAAATAACTATAGATTTTCGTCTACAACGCCAAAGCATATTCACAAAATTTATAAACAATCCCAGTACTATTTATTGTGATTTTGAGAATCTCTGTTATGCTTATATATTCAAAACCTATCGTTTTCTTTTTTACTATTTGAAGTAAATACTGAAAAGACTGCATGATCCATATCGTTTACTATTTTTAACGATAAAAGAATGAAATATAAGACAATAATATTTGAAAGGACTCTGATAAAATAATTCCATCACATTCTGTATTAGTAACCATTAGTAAAATATAATAAACAGATCTTTTTTGTAAACAATTGTATGGTCTTTGATATAATCCTAATATTATTTCAAATACAAATCAATTTTACTGGCAATATTGCCACTTATAAAACGATACTAAACATTTTTGTAAAATTGTTTCATTCGAAAACTCTCGAATACTTCCTTAACAGGCGAAGAAAAAAGACGTGTATGACTAAATAAAGAATTAAAAAGTCCACTTAGTTCGTTTTAATTACACTAAAAAACTCGATCGGAATGAATCACTTATATAGAATTTGATAAAGATTTTATGAAAACACTAAGAAACAGTCATCATTCTTTCATTATTTTTTAATATGATATGTCAAAAAATTTTGATGTTGAGAACAGCTGGTGCCATTTGTATAAAAGCCAAGGACTAAAAAATAACGACCAGAATGTCGTCGAACGGAACAAATGCAACGGTCATTACAACATCTGTTGAAAGTAAGTTGTGTAATAATATAATATTTAAATTTCTTTATTCTCATGGGAATGTTATCTTGACAGTGCATACAAATCTTTCTACATATTTTAATTAATAAAAAAGGATAAAAATATCATCTTTCTGTTATAAAATAAATCAATGATAATTATTTTATAAAAGTTTATAAGTAACTTAATAAATCGCAAAGTTATAAATTCAATTATTTTTATTCAATATTTATTAGCGAGTGATAATTATGAACAATTCTTCCTAACGGATATAAGAAATAATAATTTCTTACAATTATATTAGTATAAATATTTTATATCTGTTTAATTTTTTAATATATTATTTTATTAAAAAATATCGACTTGTTCGACATTGTATTATATAATAGAATAAACGCAGTAGACCTTATATATATATATGTATATGTTTTATATCAAAAAACATAAATATAGAATTGACAATTTGTGTAATAAGATCATTAAACTAGACTGCTTATAATAGACTTCAAATAACAACATGTGATGGTTTCTGTTCTTATTAAGTACTAGAAGATTATTTATTCAATTAACAAAAAAATGAATATATCAACTGGAAAAATCATCAGTTTTTTTGTTTTATTTTATTTATTTATTTATGTCCAGGTCTAATGATACTTTTTCTTATCAGATGCTGTACCATGGAGTGCCATCATATTTTTGTTACTCGTTGCTTTTCTATTGATTATAGCAATTGTATTAATACTTTATTTTGAAAAACTTTGTTGTTTTGGTCGATATCGATTTTTAAAACATTTATTACGACGAATTACAAGAACAAAAAGAATTGTACCAATTCCTGCAACAACACAAACGAGTATATCAGTTGATAAACCTGAAGAAGAAAAAAATTCTTCTACACAAATTCAAGAATATCTTTGGATTGCTGGTCATAGTGAACATATATCAACATTTGAGCCAACAGAACCTTTAATTACAGATGAATTTAGTAAGTTATATTAAAAACTAACTATTTTTTCATTAACTAGTCTTTCTATTGTGTTTGACTTTTTCCTTATTGATTAGTTAGCACATCAAAAACATCTTCACCTCAATATTTCCTGTCGTGACTATCTTCTTTTCTTCTTCTTTTTCCTCTTCTCTTTCTCAGTTGTTTTGTTTTAGTCTTAACTATTAGTTTTGTGTTTTTCTGCTCGTTTTTTTCTCTCTACATAGTTTCTTTTTTGATAATGATGAGAGACGAATAGGAGAAAAAGACTATATTATACAGGTAAAGCTATCTTTTGTTTTTCTTCTCTCTTATTTTTTTTTCTCTTAGAATTCTATAGAACATTTCTTTTTCTCTTATTTTATTCTCCATATTCAATACATAAATAGTGTCAATACAAAGTACACTTAAGTTAATTTCTTTTACTCTTGTCATTTACCACTTACATTCCTCTTCTTCTTCTTCTTCTTTGTCTTTACAATTTGTATATGAATTCTTTATCTTTTAATCTTTGATGAGTCTCTGAATTTGACTAGATAATAAGGTATTTTTCTTATTCTTCTTTAATCGGAAAGATGAATCTTTTTTTTCTTATTGTGAATATGACAGATTTGCTTGAATACATCTATTCACTTCTGCAATGTTAATTAATCTTGAAAATGGACCATTTTTTCTATTAAAGTTAATATTTAACATAAAGTAAATTAATAAAGGTGAGTTACATAGTCAAGTTTGCATGTTTGAAAAGAAAGGTAAAGACAAACAGGATGTTTATTAGTTGATATATAAATCTTTTTTTCTAGACTTACTAAACTATATATCGTATATTTAATCGCGTGAGCGGATGTAAGAAAAGCACATCTTTACACTCACACGCACATCAATATTCAAACCAATATTTGTGGAACATTTGTTCTCTTATTATTAAAAGCAAACATGTGTTATTATCCTTTTTTCCGTAAGATTGTTATCATTGATGTCATGTAGTTTTATTCATGTCTGTTTTATATCTACGCAAATAAGAAGTGAACGGAACATTGAAATTCTATAGGGAAATTAGTATTCGACTTTTTTTCTTGCTTAGTTTCAATTTTGTTGATATTGACACTGAATTCGTAATTGTCGTTTATATTTAAATCATTGAATGTATTCATTAATAATTATTGTTTAATTCTAACTTGCAGGTACAGATCTACCAGATGATGATTATACAACATTAGTACCACCTGTTAAACAAATGAATGGTGCAAATCGAAAATTACCACAAGTACCAATAATTGTTGAAGAAAAAGAAAACGGATCAACATCATCATTATCAAAAAGTATTTATGAGAAAAAGAAATTTTTATTAAGATATTTATTGCATGATTTTAGTTAAAAAATCAAATCGAAAAATTGGTGATCAACAAAAAACAGCAATAGCTGGAATATCAAAACGTAAACCAAATATTGATAATGATTTATTTAATCGTTCATACTCAGCTCCATCATCACCTGCTCTATCACATCATAGTAACCAACGATTAAAACATAAAAAGCTCATAGATCCAAATGACATTGTAAGAATATAATTATCATATTGATATTTAGCTCACGTTTATTGCTATATTTTGTTTTTTTTCCATAGGATGCAAAATCTATATCAAGTGATCAGGGTACAATAACAGCAAATGGTCCAAGTAGTAGTCTATTATCGGGTTCACTTGAAGTTCGTTTGAAATTCGATGCGAAAAATAGCAAAATGTGGGTATTTGTTATAAAAGCAACATTAGAAATGAATCAACGTTTAACAAAACAATCACTTATTCAGATACATCTGACTATGCTACCTAATAAACGTATTCGTTTTCGTACACGTGCTAAACCTGCTGATAATGCTATGTTTGCAGAAGAATTCTTTTGTAAAGTATCACCAGGTAAATTACAGTAAAAAATCTATTTCGTTTATTTTAAATTATTATCTTTTTAGATTCAATACAAACACAAGGTATTCGCTTTCGTTTATATACAAATGAACGATTTAAACGTGAAAAACTTCTTGCCGAAGCAACAATTATGTTTGGTTTAATTAATCTCGATGAAGATATGTGTAAAATTGTTCCGTTAGAACGAGTAGATGTATATATAAATTCAATTATTATTGTAAATTTTATTTATCATGTTGTTGTTTTTCTTATTTAGGCATCAGAAGAATCCGATTCAGTTAATAATCGTTCACGTGCGAGTAGTAATGCAGCATCAAGAAGAAATTCAATAACACCCAATGGAGCACCTAGTGGTTCACTTTTACCTGAACTTGAAATTGGTTTAGCATATGATAGAAATCAATCAACACTTATTCTTGAAATAGGAAAAGGCGTTAATTTCGGTATGACTTCACAAGGACGAGCACCAGGTAAATATAAACCTATATGCTTTTCATAGATTCATTAGTGCATAACTTATTCTTTTAAGATACATTTGCTCAAATGACATTACTTAATACAAGTGGTGAAGAAATGTTATCAAATCGAACAGTTACTCGACGTACACAACATCATCCAATATATGCTGAACGTTATCCATTTAATATTCAGGAACATTTACTCGATCAGATAACACTTGTTATTACAATTATTAATAAAAAACCAACAGGAAAAAATGATCGTAATCTTGGTTGGATATCATTTGGTACAGTTGTTTCTTTTTTTTTCTTAAATTCATGATCAATGAATAAATATGTTTCTGTTATGTAGGTCATGGTGCCAGTGGTAATACTCAAGTTGCTCATTGGGATTCGATGCTTAATGCCCAAGGTGAAACTATAACACGATGGCATGCATTATTAGAAAGTTGAATATATTTGTTATTATTAGGAATTTGTGTATTTGTCAAAGTTATTTCTATACATATATATGTAATGTGTATGATCGTTTTTCTGTTTTTTTGGTTAATTCACTTGTAAAATATATCGTTTGATTGCAATATTATCGTTTATTTCTTTTTCTCTTCAACTACGCCATAGGATATATGGATAATTGAGTTCAGTTTTTATAGGCAATGCACTTTTGTATGAAGTATATTTATAGTAATTGTAAACTCTTTTGCATAGCTACATTAGTTGTATTTTAGAAAGAGATGTAGAAGACTGGTTTGTGACTTGATGCATATAGTGGAAAGCTTTTTTTTCCTGAACATTATTTGGAATTGATTTTATAGAACACTCAAATGTAAAATTGAAAAGTTTAATTACTCTTTTGATTTTATCTTCGAGATAGAAAAAAAATGATATATTAGATTTTTTTCAATCGTACGATGTCAAGATAATCTGTATAATCAAGAATTTTCAAATGAAAATTAGAAAAGTAATTTATTAAGAAATAAAATAAGATCTTAATTTAGTCTAGACAAGAATGTAAAAACGTCTACGAAGAAACTAATTTCTTATCTTAATTTGCATTTTATTACGAGTCAGACAACTTATTATAAAACGCAATTTATCATGGTTTTTTTTTAATTACGATAGTCGCCGTTAGTTAATAATATATCATTGATCGTTTCATGATATATTACTACTAGCTAATTAATAATTGGAAATATTGCGAACTTATATAGTCTATTTTGATTGATGGCCATATTATGTATATGCTTTTATTCTCCAAGTAACTAACATAAGTAGAATAGTGTCTTAGGTTCGTTGATAAAAAATACTCTAACCTATATATAACAAAAATGATTTCTATAGAATTTCATAATCATAAGTTATATTCCTCTGTCACTTATGCTTAATATGCATTCAAGATTTTAACTTATATATCTAGTACTTGAAAGAAAATTATAAATTTTCAGCAAACAACATGTATCAGAATAATAAGTATTAATAATTGCCATTGAACACTTAAGCATTAAAACTATCATAGAGATTTGAATGTTAATATCAATGAATTAATACGTTCTAAATTTTATTAATACAATATATATTATAGATTGAATGATAAAAGGTTGAGGAATAATATTCTGTATCTGTTTTTCATTATATGATGATATTTCTTCGATAATAATTATTATTCTACGAATCAAAATATCACAGACTGATGATTCTAATCATAAATTGTTTATCATTTGTAACTGATATTCATTATATATCCAATTTAATTCATGAGAAAGATAGTGTCAAACTCATTTTCATCATACATATGTTTTCAATCAAATCATTCATAAATAGCAATCAGTTCTTCATCTGTCTCATATATTGATAACTATAATAATATTTGATAATAGATTAAATAAATCAAGACAGGCGATAGACGTCTGTCATTAAATCTGTATTCTATGAGTTATGATAAGACAAAAATAAACTTTTAATATACTGTGTATTAGATATAACCAATATATTCTAGTCAAACATTTGTTATCACTTTATACTAATTAGTTGAATAACGATTTAGATATCAAAGTGAATACGATATGAAGATGTACATTAAAATAAGAAATCTATGAAAATAGTTTTTATTGATACTTATCATTTATTAATACTTCAATATTAGATCATTGTTTTTTTTATCTATAAATAAATATGAAGAAAAACAATTTATTGACTCATAATGAACCTAAGTTACTGTTTCGAAAGAATAAGTATTCCCATTGAAACAAATAGTAAAAATTGTGAATAACATTTATTTCTTTAATTGGTTTTCAATACATTTATATATTAAGCAAACAGAAAACAATGATTCTAAACATTCTTGTTTTTTTTCTTCTTCGTTTCTATCATTCTAACATAATATTAGTCCTGTATCTGTAATTTTTGACACAAATATAATTTTTTATCTTAATACATTCAATGAATTGGAATTTAATCTATAATACATTAAGATAATTGCGTGTATATAAATAAAGATATATACAGGTGTGTTAAACAATAAATTCTTTTAACATTCATCTCCAATAGCTAAATGACTAGTCATTTGTTTATAACGTGTTTGATTTAGTGAATATTTCTCATAATCTAATGGTTTTTGATTATTAACAGTTGCTATTGCTGCTGCTGTTGCTACGGATCCAGTTGCAAGACTAACTGTTTGAAATTTTTGTTTACGATAAATTGAACCTTGTTTACAAAAATATAATGCAACAATATCACATATAAATGTTGCTAAACCAAGTACACCAATCATTGAGCCTATATTAAGTGTTAAAACAAGAAAATCAAATCGACCAGCTTCACCCGTAACAGTAACAATTAATCTTAAACCAAATGCTTTTGTTAATGTACGATGTGCATCACTTTCAAATTTCCAATGTGATGCATAACGAAAATTAAAACCAAAAGAAAATCGTTCATCCTTATATCTTGAATCTAAACGACCAAATGAATATTTTGGTTTACATTGATCACCACCTAAATCTAAATTACATATCCAATCGATTTTAATACGAACAACAGCACCAAATGTTAACATTTTAAGACGTTCGTCATCATCGGGTTCAACTATTTTTAATAGATCTTCAACACGAAATATTGGACAATATTTATCATTTTCTGGATGATAAATACATTGTGTAATATTTTCGTGACCATGAAATATATTTGTTCGTGCAATATTAAAACGTGTAAATTCAATGAAATTTTTAACAAAGATTGTAAAATTTAATGATTCCATTATTGGTTGAGGCGGTGAAAGATCATTTTCTACCGGACACCAACCTTCCATTTCACAACGACCTTCAGGAATACGACATTTTCCTGTCCAACGTCCATTACTTTTAGAAGGATAAGGACCGAATTTTTTACATTGAGTATCATTAGTACATACAGAGGCGGTTATATCAACTCCTTCACCGCAACGTTTTGGTTGCTGATCAGTTTGAATAAAATTTGTCATAATAAAAATAGCATTATTTTCTTGTGGTGGTATAACATAATCAGCATTATCTAATGTAATTGTTTCATTTCTATTTACACTAGCAACACCTTTAACTTTAAGTGTTACAGATGATATTAATGATGGATCACGATCTTGATAACCACGTTTATACCACATTAAATAACCGAATGCATAAAATAAAATAAGTAACTGTACAAAACGGCACGTTAATGCTATTGAATATGAATGAATAGTAATAATTTTTGGTGCTTAAAATAATAGAACAAAAAAAATTTTGTTAAATAAATTTTTAATGTATTTTATTTTTTCTTTTGTTATGAATTTAAATATTAAAAAAAAACAATGACTCACTTTCATATTCAGTAACGGAACTAAGAAGAACAGATTTTAAATGGCTAGGTGCACAAGCATATGTAAATGGTGAACAATATCGTTTTATTTTCTCACAAGTTGTTTCAGGCATCATGAAATCGATGGAATTCTTTTAAAATAGTATAATAATAATAATAATGAATATGTTACCAATATTTCTTTTTCATACTTAACGATTTTTTCATCAATATTGTTTTGAGTATGTTCAATACGACAAATATTTTTTGATGAATGATAATGAGAAATAGTTGTATTGGCTTGATTTTTCTTTTGCTTTAGGTCTCATACGAATGACAAAGAGAAAGAAACATTGGGTAATTTATGAGACTGAAGGATTTCTATTGCTTCCTTTATTTCTTGTTAGTCTAATAGTAATCAAACGGTAACGATAAAAAAAAAAGAAAAAAAAATATGTTTGTTGATTGACTTCTCTATTTTTTCTCGTCTATTTTCTCTATGTTATACTAAATAATACTAATAACCATGCGTTAAAATCCGTATCAGAAGGTAAACTAAAAACACTTGTTGAACGTGTGTAGATCTAGACGTAATTTTGCCAGGAAGTGCATTGTTGCATTAGATGCCTGTTTATAAGCTCTATAGTCGTATAAATATGAATTAGTTAAGTGCTTTTGCTAGAAAAGAGACTGAAAAACTAGTGATAGACATTAGTAATATATTTTTTACTCCCATACAAGAAATTGCATTGAGGTTGTTGTCTTGCTCTCCTTTTTTTTTCCTATTCCATTTCTGAGAAATGCACCACACTCAATCATAAAATTACATACACATACACACTAATGAATAGAAATCGGCTGTAAAAACCATTGAAAAAGCCGAGAAAAAAACCTCCAGATAGATTAATACGACAATTGATCATGCATGTTAGCGTGAGCGGATTCTATTTCAAATAGTAGCGTCATATTTGTCTAGATTATCAATTACTCAAGATATAACTCGATGGTTGGTTATAATCAACTATGAATCTGTCACATCTGTTACATATTGACTAGATCAAATGATATCAACTCTAATCATATGTTATTTCATATGTTTTGTTTTTCATAGATCTTTTACTACACGTTGTTATTTAATACAACGTCAAAAACAAAATAATAATCAAGTTGAGTCAGTCGATGAAAACTTAATCTAGACAATATATTTTATTCATGCTATAGTTTTGATCGATCTAAAAGATTTTAATTCAAGAAAAAAAATAATATCAATTTGTTTGTATTTCAATTAAAATAAAACTATATAAATGAAGTCTTCAAAAAAAGGTCGACTATTAGAAAGAATTACAGTATTTAATTATATATGAGTAAAGCATATTTGGCAAATAATATTTTCATAAAAATAAATATGAGTTATTTACAATCTTTGTCCGAAATATAAGTAAACTTAGTCAAGACGGAAATTTAACTTGAATTTTTTTACAAGGCTAATCTTTTTTGATTAAATTCTTTTAACATGAACATGTGTATGACAATTTTTACTCTTTCAAATATCATTTAATTAAATTTATTTCTAATATTAGACTCCATCAAATCAAAAGCAATGCTCTATTTTTTCTTATGCTACATTATTAATACTAATTTTCTAACGACAACTCTTCTGAATAAAAGCTTTTAAGGTTGATCTTTTTATGGTATCTAGAATAGGTCAACATATAAATAATAGCTCTAGAAAAAGATCATTATCTCAAGATATATGCATTTTAGTTTAGTGAAGCATCACGTCTCTAACGAATCATCTTAACCGCATATATATATGATTAATGCGAAAAAGTAATGCTAAATCTATATGCGTATACAAGCACTTATGTGGAGATATTGTTTAAGATTGGAATTTAGTTACAAATAAAAATGTGTTTAAAAATAATAATCTAATCTAACAATCAAACTTTTGAAAATGAATAATATATTATTTGTAGTTTTAGTACACATTATTTATTTTGTTTTTCATTAAATGTATTAACTAACCGAATCAATCTATCTATCTAGAAAGACTAAGTACATATTATAACACAAAGAATCAGTTCATATTTTACATTGACTTATATTGACAGAATATAATTAACTTATTTCTTTCTGTCGTTCTTGTTATAGTTCAAGATAAATCTTGACGTATTACTTGTTACAACAGTTTCATGAAGAAAATACTATTTGCAATCGACTAATTTGTAGTATTAGCGTATATTTATATAAACGTCATTCTTTTTTCTCACACTTAGCCATGTCAAAATACTAATGCTAATAAGAAAAGAAAAAAAATAGGTCATACAATATGTAAGACATATATTTCATTCAAAACTCAATAAACTTAATAGATTAATCAATCAACACTTGCATGGTATAAAATTATTTAAAACTAATTTGTTTTTATCACTTACAAGATAAGGTCAGATTGTACCAGCAATGATAAATTTCCAAAAACACTAAGAAACTTTCTGTTACTTCAGTATTACATGATAAATTTATTTGAATGTAGCCAATACCATTTTTCTTTGTTACTTTTTATTCATAGATTCCAGTAAAATTGATGTATAACAAGATTTAATATATATATATAGATTATAAAAATACCATGTATCTTCATCCAACTAATATATGTTCCCAAGAAAAATATGCAAGTAGTATTATATATTGAATAGCTAATGGTTGTAGACGCATTAACATATTAAAAAGTCCATTTTTTCTCTATATTTGTAGATGAATTATATAGTTTCTAGAAAGATATAAGCTCATTACTATGATTTTCAATTCATTTGGATTACAAAAGAGATGAACTTTAATTCATTAAATAATGAAATTGCTTGTAAATGACAGAGTATCTAATAAAAAACATAAACGGGTGCGACAGAATAAATGGCGGTCTCAGTATTTTCGAAATATCTCTCTTAGTTTTTGACATATACACTTGATTTTTTTTCTAAAAATAGTCCGTGAAGTTCTCTACAAAAACCCTATGAAACTATATCCGATTAACACTTCAATGCTTCGAAATGGATTACTTTTTAATCTGTATTCTTATAAAAATAATTATTTCATTCCTTCTAGTGAAATGGATATGAGACCTAATCCTAAATCAAATTACCTGTGTTTTCTTATGTACTCTTTGTAACAGAATTTAAAAGAGGATATCCTGACAGAATTACGAGGTTTCAGCGTTCTATTTTCTTTGAAAACGAATCAATACCATCAATAGTTCTCTTTATACACGTCATGCGTTACAGAAAGAAAAGATTTTTCAACATTCTGTCTTCATCGAAACGATAGAGAAAACATTTTTCTTCTACTTCGTAATAAATCTGAATACGTTATGATTCTATGTTAAACATAACAAAATTAAAATTGCGGTGAATCTCAATGAAAGCTTCTCAGGACGCGAATAGAGTAAAATAGAGAAAAGTATTGTTTAGGTAAATTTACAGTACGTCAACAAACCTCTTCTCTCAACTAATTGAGCTTTTATAGACTACAAAATGATCTATTCAGTTTCTTTGTTTATGCTTAAAATGCGTCACAAAATCGTTAATATGAAAAACAGTGCTTAGAAAGTAGTCATTTCGAAGCATTGAAGTGTTAATCGAGTATAAGTTCATAGTTACCCATTCGAAGAGCTCTTTTCATAGGGTTTTTGTAGAGAATTTTACAGACTATTTTTAGGCAAAAAAAATCAAGTGTATATGCTAAAAATTGAGGAACATATTTCGAAAATACTAAGACCGCCATTTATTCTGCCGCATCCGTTATATTAAAATTTTAACTAAAAAATCTAATTATTTCTGATGTAGACAAGCTCTCATCCACTCCTTGAAGAAAGACTGAACTTGTCATATACTATTTGATAATAATTTCTTTTGTAACTTATATTTTATTTATATAGTTATACAGTTATTCATCAATGTTAAATTTATCTATTAATATAAAGATTTGTATAAATCTCATGTGTATATTGAATGTAATTGAACTTTTTATTTTTGTTAAGAAACCTACGACCTCTATAATAAATCAAAATGATCGGTGTCTATGTCCATTTCTGTGTCCATGGTTGTAGTATTTGAATAATTTCTTTCTTTTTTTTGAAATATAATGCAATGTTTTCTTCTAAAGTCAAATATCTTCTTGTTAATTCTAGTCGAATTTTTTGTAAGACAAAAAAATGTTTTTATTAAATAACATCAAAAATACTATTTTAAATTTCAAAGGTCAAACAATTCATTCAAGATTAAATCATCAAACAAATCCTGTTGGATGTAAATAAATATCTTTTAAGATTAGAATGAATTTTTTTTCTCTTTATTTTAAGTTTAGTACGTTCATATTTTGATAAAGAAATTCATGAACATAAGAAAACAGGACGTTTACCTACAACATTCAATTTAAATGATTTGAAATACTTTGAAATACTTTCACGTATTCGTAGTAAATCCGATCGTCTTTCATATCTTCGATCTTTAATACCAATAATCAAAACTCCACCAACGATTGCTATACCAGAAGATTCAGGTGGTGTTCATAGTGGATTTCTTTGTCCATATCGAATTCTTCGTCAACATGATTTTATTAATATGTCAACATGGAATTATTTCAAAGCTCAACGACTCAATGAAAATCTTCTATTGAATTGTTCAGGTCTATCTAGTGTTCCATTAGCACAATTAATTATTGATATGAGAGCAAATTTTAATTTATTAAATGAACCATGGTGGCCAATATTAACTGGTGTATCAGATGATGTTCATGAAGAAATAATTGATATATTAAAAACAAAATATCAATTACATGGTGCACATTTATCTACATGGGAAACACAAGATAAAATATTAGATACAAAAGATTTAACATTAATTTGTGCTAATCGTGGTGAAACAATATATGAAATTGATTCGAATATAGATTATATTGTTCAAATAGATGGTGATAATAGGCAATGTTGTTTAGGTAATGCAACAGATAATAGTAATAAAATCTATAAAAATATTGTTAAACTTGAATCAAAAACGAAGTAAAAGATTTAATTGTTGGAATTAATTTATGTTCAATTGTTTTTTTATTTCAGAAGTTTTAATATATCAAAAAGAATCTTAACATCTGATCTATTTTCAATATTAGCGTCATTAAAAATGAAAGGATTATTCTATAAAAAAATAATCAAAGATATTGATGATGAAAAATATAATATAAAATCGAAAGCTCGTAGTGGTTTAATTTCGAATTAGATTTCAATAAAAAATTTCTATATTTCAGATTTTAAAAATGAGTACATTTGAAGATCTTCGATCAGCTGTTAAACAAACACTTGAACAAAATGGTTCATTAGCAGCAACACGTGCTAAACTTCGCGCTGATATATTTACAACATTACAACATCCAACAGAAGTTAAACCAAAAGTTCCACATGAAAACTTACTTATCAATGAACTTATTGTTGAATATCTCAACTATAATAATTTACATTGTGCTGCGTTAGTATTTTTTTATTTTCGAAATTTTGTTATTACACTTTTGTTTTTCTATCTTTCTAGATCAGTACTTGCTGCTGGTATGTTTATAAAACAAGAACTATAAATTTTGTTAATATATATTTTGTATGAAAATATCTAGAATCTGGACAACCAACACCATCACTTGGTAGAGCTTTTGTTGCTGAACAATTGAATGTACATGATGATGAGAAAACACGACAATTGTAAGAATATATATTTATTGAAAACCATCGATATATATATTTAAATTATTTCTTTTAGACCATTGCTCTATTCATTACTATCACATTTTTCAGCAAATACAAGAACAGCTAATCGTACATTATCAAATCGTACAAATTAGTATAAATGTTAGTTATTTCAACAGTTTTGTATATCGTGTTTCTTTTTCTTTTTGAATGTACTTAGTAAATAGAATGAATGAATGAATGAATATTAAAGCTTATTTCTACTGCCATCTATACTCGTATTTGACTGGATTGGTTTTATATGTTGTCTTTTGAGAAACAAAATAATAATAAACAATAAAAGACATTCTTGTTTTTTTTTTGATTATTCAACTATATATAAAATCGCTGGAAAAACAACAATTTTTTCAGATGTCAGACAGTGAAGAATTTGATTCATTAAAAGTAATTGAACTTCAAAATGAACTTAAAAAACGTGGTCTTGATACAAAAGGACGTAAAGTGGATTTAATTGAACGATTACGACAAGCAGTTAATAGTGAAACTGAAGGTGATACAACAAGACAGAATTCTATGTTTACTGATGATGAATCAGTTGCAGCTGTAATAAATGATGATATAATATCTTCATCAATTGTTCGTTGATCTATTTTAAGAGTTCTCATTTAATAATTTCTCTCTTTCTCTCTATAAAATATTTAGGAAATGAAAGACAATAATAATCAAGAAAATACATCTGTTGAACCGAATTTACAAACAATAGAAGATCTACCTCGTGAAGAACAAAAATTAGATGAATCACCATCAAGTAAAAAACGTCATCTTCCTGATGACGATATAGAAAAAGTAGAAGAAAGTGAAGATAATTCATTAGAAAATCCAAATAATGATATAGAAAAAGATGATGAAAATAATAATAGTGATGATATATTAAAACAAAAACGTAAAAAAAAGAGTCGTTGGGGTTCAGAACAAGACGAAGAAGAATCACAAGAAAAACAATCAACTTCAAAACAAACATCGGATGATGATGACGATGATGATCGTGATGATCATAATGATGATGATGATGATAATAATAATAATAGTAGTAGACATCGAGAACGAGATCATCATCGATCATCAAGACAACATGATGACGATCGACATTATAGTAGTCGACGTTCCGAAAAGTATGTAAAAAGATATAACTAAATAGATTTTGTTTTCTTTGTGAGTATGTGTGTGCGTGCGTATATATATATATGTGTGTGTGTATGAAATGAAATATTCTAAAATGAGATAAAAACAAGCCTGTCTGTCTAAAATTCAAATGGCATATTAAATGAAGATTAACAAGGAAATTTAAATTTATTCTTTATCATTTATATATCCATTTATTGCAGTATAACAACAGCTCATCTGACAATATTATGTCGTTATTTATTTATTCCGACGATTGTCATGAAATCCTGTATTTAAATGGTAAGCGTTATGATAGCGAGCGATTATTATATTAAATATGGTTTAAGATAGAAGAATATACACATATAAAAAATTGAATATATTTAGTCAATGTACAATGGATTGTGATATTTTTTTTTCGATATATGATAATGAACAAAAGAAGAAGCAATGTTACAACAAATGAACAAGAAAAGGCAAAATAATGTGAAAAAAATTTGATATAAATATGGATATTTTAGATGTATAATAATGTGTATCATTGAAAATACAAAGAAATTAATTCGGTTTAGATAACAAAAGACAGATCAATGAACAGGTTTTTCTCTAAATATGAATATGATAAAATTGATGTGTTATTTGTGTGATTTAGTTTTTTTTTTCGGGATTTATTATTTAATATTTCATTGTATTAATTTTCTCTCTTTTTTTTCTATATATAGATCAGCGGAAAGAGAGATACCACTTCCTGAAGAAGAAATAGTGCAATTCAATAATGATGATGTAGTACTTGATTTTTGTAAGTAAACATTTTTTTGTTTATATTAAAATCATACAGTTCCGATACTTAATAGTTGAGTTATTGTTATCTACATCATGAGAAAAAAAGTTTAAACTGATATGTCAAGTATAGGCATGCGCTTTGTTATTTTAAGTGCATCTTAGTTAGACAATATAGTAAATAGTAGTTGTTTACTATTTAAAAGATGGGTCATGTAAACCTCTATAAAAATTACCAAACTAAATCTTTGGAACTATTATTATGCTATATTCATTTCCTTATTTATCAATATTTTATTAAAATAGATACATCTGATTTGAATTTGACTATAAATACGGATTGTTTATCCGCATCGAATAAATCGAATGATGCATTATGTTTCTTATGGGCTGGTGTCCGTGCAACATATGGATTTAAACAAGGAAAAATTTGTTATGAAATTCGAGTAAATATTATATATTTCTTTCTATTTATTTCTATAAATTTATAACTATAGATAACTGAAATAATTGATTGTCCACAAATGCCTGAAAGTGAAAAAGAAAAATTTGGTATTCGCATTGGTTGGTCAAATCTATCATCGGGTCTTCATGCTCTTCAATTAGGCGAATTTAATGATTCATTTGCTTATGCATCAGCCGGAAAAAAACTAAGTACAACAAATACTGAATTCATAGAAGATACTTATGGTGAATCATTTGGTTTGTCAGATGTTATTGCATGTTATATTGATTTTGGAGATGATGACAATTTAATTCGAATATCATTTACAAAGAATGGTGAAGATTATGGTCAAGCATTTGAATTTTCTAAAACAAATTCTATTGAATTTTATCCACATATATTAGTAAAAAATGTTAAATTTGAATGTAACTTTGGACAGATAGTAAGCATAGAATATTGTTCTTTTTATATATTAAATTTATTGATTTATTTGTTCAGGAAACTCCATGGTCGGAAATTAAATCTGAATATATATTTGTACAAAATATTCCATTATCAGATCGAATACGTACTTGCGAACCAATTCTAGAAAAAAATCAATGTGAAATTATTCTTTTATCGGGTTTAAATGGATCAGGCAAGACAACTTGGGCTAGGAAACATATAGAAGAAAATCCTAAAAAAGATTTTAATTTATTAAACATTGAATATGTTCTTAGTAAAATGACAGTATGTTTAATAGAAAAGTTAAAATTATAAAAAACTTGACATTTTATTTTGTTTTTTCTTAAAGATTGATGGAAAATTGCCAGTCATAAAAGATCGTAATGATGGTTTAATGTTACGTGTGAATATATGTTTACAAAAATTAATTGAAATTGCTGCACAACGTCGACGCAATTTCATCATTGATCATGTAAAGAAAATAAGGAAATAAATAATATTAATCTTTTTTTTAATCTTTTATAGGTGAATATAACTCGTGAAACTCAATCAAAACGTCAACGTTTATTTACTGGTTATCAACGAATAGGTGTTGCTATTATACCTGATGAAGATGAATTAAAACGACGTATTGAAAAATTAGAAAAAAATGAAAATATTACTATACCATTACAGTGGATTAAAGAAGCAAAAGCAAAATTTAATTTCCCACAAAAAAGTACTTCATTAGAAGATGTTATTTATCCAGAATTATCTTATGATGATGCTAAATTAGTATATGATAAAATACGTCGAGATTATGATCAATATCGTTCATCATCACGTTCTGATCGACATGATGATTATCATTCATCACGAAATAATAACAATAATCGAAATCGTTATGATGATCGAGATCGTCGTAGTGGAGATCGAGATCGAGACCGAGATCGAAATCGTGATCGATATGCTCGATCACGTTCACGCGATCGAGATCGTCGAACATCACGTGAAGATTCACGATTTTCATCATCACATCGAAATGATAATTATCGTGGTGGATATTCTCGTGGTGGCGGCAGCAGTGGTGGTAGTAGTGGTGGTGGAAGATATTCTGATCAGCGACAAGATTCAAGGAATAACCAACGTGGTGGTTTTCATGAAGGTGGCGGTAATTATCGTGGAAGAGGAGGCAATTATAATAATCAATCGAATGATGATCGACGTGGTGGATATCAACAACGAAATGAATTTGGTGGGGGACGTGGACGTGGTGGTGGTGGTGGTGGTTTCGATAATAATCGAAATCAATATAATAATCGTGGTTCCTTTCAAGATAAACAACGTGGTGGTGGCGGTGGTGGATTTAGACAAGAATTTAATAATCCACAGAGAGGAAGACAGTTTAATAGTTATGATAATAATCAACAACAACAAGGTGGTGGTGGTGGTGGTAGTAGAGGTTTTATGCAAAATAATAATAATAGTTTTAATCAACAACGTGATAGACAAAACTTTGATTCTAGAGTAAGTATTTAATTGAATATCAGTATAAAAGGTTCATGCAAGATATTAAGAAAATCGAAAAGAATAACTATTATAATATTAAAATATACTTAATGATTATCATTTATTGCATAAATTTGAGTCTGATCATTTACTATTTCAACTTATAAGTAAACTATATACTTTGTTATAATATTTTTAAAATTTTAGCCACCAATGCAACAGCAACAACAACATTCATTTCAAAATCAACAACAACGTCCACAACCACTTCTTCATAACCCAACATCTAATCAACAGCAGCCATATTCGTCTCATATGGCACAACAAACACTCAATAATCCCAATCTCTCTCTGCAAGCACAAAATCCACTAGGCATTAATTCATTGTCTAATGCAGCAAATATTACTCAGCAAAGTTCACTTGATCCATGGCTAGCATTATGCGCAGCTGCTCTTAATCCACAGGCAGCTGCACCTCAACAACCACAACAAGACACAAACTCATTAACTCAGCAATGGGCCCAATGGTTAAAAACAGCACAAATGGTATATAGAAAACAACTTGATTTAAATCTATTTTAAACTAATTCATGTTCTGTTTAGGCTCAAACAGCACAACAATCTCATCCTCAATTATCAGTTCAACAACCTGATTCTCAACAACAACAACAACAGCAACAACAAGCACAAATTCCGGATGCAAGTGCCTTGTATTATCAGGCATATTATGCTCAATTAGCTGCTGCTCAACAACAAGCTGCAGCAGCAGCAGCCGCTGCAGCTGGATCTATGAATGGTGGTGTAGCTCCACCTGGTAGTAGTAATAAATAGTTTCACTGAAATCATCATTCTGATGTATATATATATACATATGTCTGTTTGTAATACAAACAACTAAGAATTTAATAAGAAAAAGTGGGTGAGTATTTTACTTTATTCATTTTCCTATTTCATTCACAAATTGAGAGCATATATTGTTGTTGTTTCATTTTTTTTGTATCTGTGTAATTCTACTATTTGTTTAACTAGTATTTTCCTTACCTTAGCGTTTATGCCTTTATTTGAAGTAAAAGAAATATTGTTGTTCGTATTTATATACATTTATTATCTACTTATTGTCTCGAAACAAATCCACTAAAGTGATTCAATAAAAAAACAAAACCAATTCTTTCTTGTTTTTCTTGTCTATCTATATGTCTACTACTGATACAATTGATGAATGTGATGAACTTAACTTTAGTGATAGACATTTATTTGCAATTGTATCAACTTAAATTATTAAATCTATTCAATAATAGAATAGTAATTCATTAGTGAAATTTAATGATATTAATTTTTTTTTGAATATTTGTGGGTAAGAATATGAGTGTACATGCAAATTTATATTAATAACATCAATCTTATTCTTTTTTTTTCATTGCATCATAAATATCTTTTCTGTATTCTAATCCCTAATCATCAAATATATATACGACGTCCATACATAGTGTGAGAAAGAACTGAATAGGATCATGCGCTCTCAATGTGATTTAAAAAGACAATAGACATTGTAAAAAAGAAAGCACATTGAAACAAATCACAAAAGAAAAATCAACCATTATTCCAAGACAAATGTATATTACCAATACATGACAAAGGAAAATAAGAACAATTATCATTATTATAATCAACAAGACAAAAATAGGAACAAGAAATAAAATTGATTTCGTTATAAATCTATATGAATTATTATAAAAATCGAACAGATAAATTGAGCAGAAAAGATAATACATTCAGATGAAAAGAAAAAAAAAAGATAGGGATCTATTGTATATTCATCAAACAGTAAAGGAAGTGGAAATGTTATGTTGATCTTTGAGTTCTTAATGATTCAATTTTTTCTCTTCGAAAAGTATTTCACCACATTGAATAGAAAATACATGTAACATGGTATGCGATAGTGACTCGATTATGTAGCAATTTTCTTATCGAAATGAAAGTGTACATGAAAGAATTTGTAGCTTACCAAGTTAATAATCATTCTTTCTGAGATATAAAATAATGTAATAAATATATATAAACAAACTCACATCTTGAATCTTTTGTACATTTCCATTCTACTTCGCTACTCAACACGAGTAGACAGCAACAAAACACTTGTCCATTGTATGCGAAGGTTATGAGAGACAAGTATTCACAGGTGTTGAAATTGAATTAGATAGATGACTACTGCCCATTTCAAAAAGAGGTAGATGATTATTTTCTTACAATCGAGATCTACAATTTTCACTATTGGAAATACCTTTCATTTTGGGTGTACTATTCATATATTCTAAAACTATTCTAGACTTATTAACGATAAAACTCGTAGTAAATGATCAAATGCTATTTTATTCAACTCTTGTCTTCAGAGAAAAGGAATTCAATCAATCTAGACTACAAAATGTCTCATGCCTATATTAGAATTCTCGTCACACACAAATATATCGATGATCTATTCGATGACATGATAATAATCCATTAGCGAAATCTAATAAAGTTAAATCAGTTTTCATTTTGAATATTTCTTTCAAAAATATTTATATTCGTGCGTTAAATATTATATTTGAATGGAAAATAGTCGGAAGTAAATGTCTGGAGAATACCAATGAAACTACGTGAGAATTTGATTGAAGTATTCATTTTGTTTACAGAAGCAATTTTTCACGTCTGATGAGTATAGTGAATTTTATTTTTAAAACTATATCATAATCTTGTCTTTCATCATTATGATTTTTGACTTCTAATAATCATCATTCGATGAACTATATTATGATTGATGCTGTAGAAAGGAGGAAAATATGAACGGAAGTTTGCTAACTTATTATGAACTTACTGTTGTCTCGAGAGCTTTCTTTAGATCAGTGATTATTCTATATTTTCAAGTAGTTCTACGCTTTAGACCGGAAATGATGAGACTTTCTCGATACTCTTCTCCTACTTTTAGTTCATTCACTGCACTATTCTATTCGTGTCTTCATCAATAATCATCAGATCTATCAAATATCTTCCAAGAATTTCTTTTTATTCCATTTCGTTCTAATCAAGTACTAGACTATAAACTTCTTCCATGGCGAACCGCCTCCTCTATAATAACACATTTCATTGTTAAATCATACATTCCATATAGAATTTGTAAACCTTATAATGAACAAATTAATAATAGTTATACAAATATTGTTACACTTTATAATGAAGTTAATAGGGTTAATAAAAATAAAATTAAAAAAAACAAAAGTAACTCTACATGAAAATAATAATAATACTTCGATACAAATATCTCATAACATAAATATACAGTAAATACTTTTCTTTTTATTAAATATGTGTTAAATTGTTCTAATCAGAAATGATCATCAAAATGATTATGTACTAGACAGTTAGCAACTAGAATTGCCAAAAGCAGCACCATTTATATAGTAAAACATTAAAAAAAGATCATTAGAAAAAAAAGTCTCTGAAGCTTTTTACTGATTTGTTTTCATTTCCATTGTACGATCGTTAAATTGGTGCTCATTAGCGTGTGTTATTTTGTTATGTACCATTAGTAACAAAGAACAGAACTGGTCTTAGTCAATGAATAAATAAAGCAATACAACAATTCAAAAACAGTTCTATAAATTAGGAAAAAAAACAAAAGAAATTTTAATAATACAGTTCTTTCTAGAACGTTTAATACGAACATTTTTCAAAGTCAAGACTATGAGTACCTATCACGTCGAACAGTTGAATCAATATGCCGTATATTGAGGCGTCATCCGTGAACAAAAACAATCAATTACAAATATGACTTCTAGATATTATATTAAGTGTTGATTAAACATAGATATAGTGTTGATAAACTTTCAAATTCTTTTGTTTTTCATATACCTTTTCAACAGTCATTTAGTAGTTGTTAGTAAAAGTATTTACGCTTACATATATATATTGAATAGATACTGAAATGAAACTTATTTTCTATTAAATTACTTTTCATTATTATCTCAACGTTTATATTAAGAATAAAAGAAGCAAATATTTGATTGAATAGATCTTGAAAAAAGAACAACTTATAAACCTTTCATGACATGTGTATATCAAATTAGATTTCTTCCTCATGAGACATTCTTTGTCTTCTTTCAACAATGATTGTCGATAACAGTTGATTAACCCTTGCCCTAGTCGATTATAAATAACTCAATAGACTATTGGTACACGTGTCCAAGTATGTATCATTTTGCATTTTGACCGATCGTGCGCGCTTTTACTATAGGCCATATACACTTCGCGTAGTCCTCCATTCTTTTTTCCTGCCTCGTTGTCTATTTCTTTCTCGGCTCATCGTGACTAGATTGTGATCAAAGGGCATAGCCATTTCTTCTCTATTCATTCTGCTGTCTACTCGCGCCAAATATACACGCATTCTTCTATACTCACTTACATATATACTTGTCCTTATTAAATAAATAAATATTTAAAATGGCTGATGCAGTAAAGAAAGGTGCTGATGCTGTCAAAGATAAAGTATCAGGTATGCGATTTAGTTCTTTCAAATCATAACAAATATGATCAACGAAACTTACACCTATATATATATATATTTATATAGAAGTTACATCAGGAGCTAGTTATGAAGCTAACAAAAGTGCTGCTAAAGATTCCGATCGTTCAGTTGGAGATCGTGTTAGTCATGGTATATTATATAGTTTTATCTCAATTGAAATAAAATGATGTTTTTTTTTTCTTCTATAATAAGGTGTTGATGCTGTAAAAGATAAAGTTGATGAAAAGACATCTGAAGCATCAAAAGAATCAAATAAAAACAGTGCTGAAAATGAAGCTAAAGGTATTGTTGAAACTGTCAAAGAAAAAGCTGCTGAAGCGTAAGTATTTATTCTATTCTGTTCTGTTGTGTTGCTAATCGAAGAATTTCTATTTTCAGATACAATTATGTTGCTGGTGCTGGTGGAGAAGGCGAAGGAAAAGGTCTTGTTGAAACTGTCAAAGAAAAGGCTACTGAAGCGTATGTATATTCTATATTTATCATATTTTAATTGAGAAGAATTTTATCGATTTAGTTACCATTATGTTGCCGAAAAAGTAACTGAAGCAACACATGCTGTAACTGGTGAAGCTAATAAAGAAGTAGCTAAAGACAGCAATCAATCAGTTAGTACACGTGCAGGTGCAGCTGTTGATGCTGTTAAAGACAAGGTTGAAGAAAAAACAAGCGCAGCTAAAGCTGAAGCTCATAAACATGATTTATAAAGAACAAAACTGCTCAATAAACACAAAGCAATAATAAACAATAATATCTTATAAAAAATAATACCGAAAATTGTAGTGTTTGTTTTATCTCAATGTTCATTATTCTCAATATATACATATTTCATTCAAAGAAAAAAAAAGAACAAATTCCAACACTTTATATGCATGTGTGTGGACTTATAAATATTTGTTATGATCGTGTAGATATGTACATTTTAAACATCCCGTAGTTAACCGATACATCGATTGATGTTTTTTTTATTCGTAAGCTGTTTAATCTTGTTATGAGTAGAGGGGAAAAAAACAGGAACAAATATAAAACCAGACACACTAGACATACACATGATTGATTATTTCAATTATATTATCAAAAGTAATGATTGAAAAGAGATATGTCAATGTACTGACAGACTAATTAGTCAACTGAAAGCTATTTCCCCTTTGAAAAGTTAAATATTAATAAAGACTAATTATATCTAATGAATAATATTCATCCATATTTCTATTTTTAGTTCAGTAAATTGTTAATCAATAAAACGCAGAGAATCCATTAAATAATATAATGAAATCTGTATGCGTTACCAATCATCATAGAACGATTGTTTATTCAGCGCCTAAAAATGAAACAAATATATACTTAATCGAGCCATTGAATGATGAAACAGATGTGAATGTATATCAAAAGAAAAGAAATATTTTCTTTTTCGTTTTGTTTTAATTGTTAACGCAATATCGATCCATATGTTACATCGTTTTTTCATCATATTATTCCCATAAGAATTTAGAACAAAATACTTCTACTGATTGAGTTTTCATAATAAATTTCTTTCTGTAAAATAATAAACGAGTTTGTATGCAAAATTTCACTTAATCAAAGCGTGAACTTTCTTGTTAATGTAGCATAAAATTTCAATTTCTTTTCTTGTCAATCAACCATTTTGATCGAATAGTAAAAATAATGCATTTCATATTATAATCTAACCAATTAAAAACCATTATCATGTAAATTATAGTAATGAAATTTATAATATGACTATGTCAAAAATACAATCGCATTATAAAGAAAAAGAAAACATAATAATGAAAATATTTTTTAAAAAAATAAGATACGCTGTAAAGAGTATATTATTTATTAATAAAAAAATATAATTATGTGACATCTTTTCTAGGAAATTTATATAAAATGTTTTCTATTGTCATTAACGTCATATGATATGTAATTAAACTAATTTCAAAAGATACTATAATTCTTTTGTTTACTAAGTATAAAAAAGATTCGATATAAAAAGAAATATGATATCCAGTTTTGACAAAATAGACTTATATAATAATGGAAATTTAATATATAAAAAGAAATATGCAAATATATTGCTATGATCAAATTCACCAATAATCAAGTGCTGAAAACCAAATTTCATTTTTCCATTGAAATTAAAAACTTTTAAGGTATGTATTAAGTCACATAATTATAGAATATCAAGATTGACTCTGTGTTTAATTTACGAAATACGTTCTAATATGTATAATATCGTTCACATCATCTAGTAACATTTTTAGTTAAATGATTCTTTTTCTAGTCAATACATTTATTATTTAAAAATTGACGTTTCGAGCAACAATGTTGTTCTCCGTCAGAAGTGTTTGTACATTTTTAATATAGATGTCTTATTCATATAAATGTTAAGAATTTTTTCTTAAAAAAATAATTGTTTTCAGATCAAATAACAATGTCCGGTATTTCAAACTATACTATGGGTATTTTTAAACATCACAATATCGAAACACGAAGTAAGATTTTCACTGATTTTTTGAATCTCTTATGAGTAATTATAAAATAGATACAAATATTATGAAATGTGGAATAGTTAATTCATTAAATAGCAATATTAATTTCATATTTTAGTAATAAAAAAAGAAAAATCTCAGTTATATCTGCAATTGATCGTAAGAAAAGAAAAAATTAGCAATTAATGTACTACTGTAGAGATAAAGGATGTGGCTGTAGGTCAGAATGATGCAGGGACATCCACAATCGCACCCATCCTCAAGATGTTTTTCGTCGGTTTTGTTTTCTTTTTTCTTTAACTATTCCGCTATTATTGTCATCTTTATTATCAGAAATATATTACTTCCTAAATATATGATTTATTGTAAAATAAAATTAATTATTGCTCATTTAAATATAAGTATTTTTCTATTATTTAGACAATCGGTATATTTGTCCGCACTGTTATTTCAGTATTTCTGCAAACAGAAGCATACGAGATTGGATTAAGCATGTACAAACAGCTCATCCAATCGAGTATGACTTTCTGGCACAAAGTCTGACAGATCTAAACAAAGCTGATCAATCTATCAATGATTCAGCTGAAGTAATATTAATTTAAATAATGCACATATTTTGAATATATCTATTTTAGAACCGTATGGTCCTTGAACACGATACGTCATGTTAACCGACGAAAGGGCCGTTACAGTACCCTAGTCGATGATTCCTGAAGCAGTATTCCCATGGATTTCTGGTGGAAATCCTCGGGAAACTCGCTGGTTTCGGCCCTGGAATCAATTCCGAGAGGAACCGAACGAATCCGGTGACTGGATCCGTTCAATGGGGATACCGCTTCCATGAGATCTTTGCAAAAACCGTGGAACTGGCTGTTTCCGCGCCGGGTTATTCGATCTGAGTATATATATATTGACATATACGTTGTTCATTTTATTCGTCATTGATTTCACTCATAAATCATTACTTCTTCTCTTTCGATTGATATTTCCATAAAATATTATGTCTGAAAAAGAAGTAAAACCATTTTAATCAGAAACTAATAATAAGTTTTTGTTGATTTTAGCTGAATGATGCACAATATGCCATAAAAATGGGCGAACTGATCGAAGCAAAAAAAAATGGTCTTATTGATGCTGAACAATTTTTTTATTCAGATTCAAAAATTGTATATAAACAAATCGTAATTTTTATTTCTTTATTTCTTCATACTTGTTATTACTATTCTTTTCTTTGACATTCCCATTGATTCGAGAATTTTTTTTTAATAAAACGTTATTTCAACTTACTGTTTCATTCTGTCATTTAGATTTAGATTTTATATGAGACTGAAAAAAAATCTGATTTAGTATTCTAAATGATATGAAACGCGAGAACTGACAATTTAGTTGTATATATTTTTTAAAATATAAGATACGCTGTAAAGAGTATATTATTTATTAATAAAAAAAGATTAATTCTGTGATTAAAAGATATTATGATTCTTTTGTTTATCAAGTACAAAACATTCGATCTAAGAGGAAATATGGAAATACATCGTTATGATCAAATTTTGTTTTTCTATTGAAATCAAAAACTTCCAATACATTGATTAAGTTATATATTTATAGAATCTCAAGATAAATTTAGTACTTTATTTACAAAATATGTTCTAATAAATATAATTGTTTTCATCATCTAGCAACATATGTCGAAACAACAAAAAAAGTTCATAGAAAACTGAATTTGATTCCACGTTATTTCTTATCATTTAATGTTAATAGCTCTTGTATTTTATCCATATAAATATTAAGAATTTATTTTTCAAAAACTAGTTATTTTCAGATCATGACGGTGAGTGTGAATATTCTATTTTATCGATATTCACACGCTTCAAAATCGACTATGGATCTCTTGAAAGATGACAATATACAAATAAACAGTAAGATTGTCACTGATTTTTTCAAATCTCCTATGAGTGACTATCGAAGAATGTTTGTTCATAAAATACATGAAATAAAAGTAATAGAATTTATAAATTGTTGAGATCGAGTCTAACGAACTTTTCAATGATGTGCCAAAATGTCAATGACTTCAAAAAAATAGTTTTTTTCCTATTAGTATTCTTGTTGTTATTCATATTAAAAGATACTGAAAATAATATAACTATAAAATAGATACAAATATTCTTTTAAGAAATATTTTTTGCTTGCAATCATAAAATCTGAATCTTTTCTATTGTTTAGATAATCAATATATTTGTCCGCATTGTCCGTATACGATTTCTGCAAACAGAAGCAAACGCAATTGGATTGGGCATATGCAAAATGCTCATCCAATCGAGTATGACTTTCTGGCAGAAAGTCTAACAGATCTAAACAAAGCTGTTCAGTCAATTGAAGATGCAGATGAAGTAATATTATTTAAAATAATGAACATATATTAAATATACCTATTTTAGAACGGTATAGCTGTCAACACGCCATACGTCATGCTAACGGACGAAGGAGCTATTACCATAGTCCCAAAAAATAAGGTATAGCACTCTTTTATTTTTCAAGGAGAAAAAAGTAGATCCTAAAAGACAGCAGTGCCGAAATTCATCTAAAGAAGAATTCGATCCTGGAGTTAGTTCCCTGAGGAACCAAACGGATCCAGTGGCTGGATCCTTTCAACTGGAATACTGTGGAACCGGCCGTTTCTGAGCTGGATTGTTCGATCTGGGAAAATATTATGCCTGTGAAAGAAGTAAATATCATTTTAATCATAATTAACAATAAGTTTTCTTTTGATTTTAGATAAGTGCCAAAGAACTTACAAAAAAAATGGACGCGCTCATCAACGCAAAAGAGAATGGTTTATCTCTGATCATGAATTTTTTATTGAGATAAAAAAACTGGATGACAAAGTCATCATAACTTTTTTTTATTAATCTGTTCATATATTTTTTTTATTGTTTTCCTCTTTTCTTTGACACTTCTCATTGATAAAACTTAATTTGTTTTTGAATAAAACATCATCTCAACTTGTTATTTTATTCTGTCTTTTACGTATTGATTATGTATAAAGTTGAAAGAAAATCTCATTTAGTATTCTAAATGATATGAAATGCGAGAACCGTCAATTCAATTGTGTATATTTTTTGAAACATAAGATACGCTGCAAAGAGTATACTATTTATTAATAAAAAACAATTTAATTCTGTGATTAAAATATATCATGATTCTTCTGTTTATCAAGTACAAAAGATTCGATATAAGAGGAAATATACAAATACATCGTTATAATCAAATTTTATCTTTTCATTGAAATCAAAAACTTTCAATACATCTATTAAATCATATATTTATAGAATATCACGATTAATTCTGTATTTGATTTACAAAATATGTTCTAATATGTATAATATCGTTCTCATCATCTAGCAACATCTATTGAAAGAAAAAAGTTCATAGAAAAGCTAATTTGATTGCATGCCATTTTTTACCACATAATATTAATAACTCTTGTATTTTATTCATATACATGTTCAGAATTTATTCTTCAAATACTAGTTATTTTTAGATCAAATAACAATGTATACACGTTGTCTTGTATTAAAACAAATTGTTCGAAATTTCATAACACCGAATTCATATAATCGTCTTGTTCGTTTTCAATCATTTGCAAATCCAAATACAGCAAATACTTTACAAGATTCAAAGTAGAATAAAAAAATCTTTTTTAATTACTATAGAAATAAAAATAATCTTTCTTTTTTAATAATTCAAGGTCATATAATCGTTTTAATACCGGAGATATTTTTCTTGATTTAACAACAGATTATAATCGTAAACGATTTGTTCAAAGTGAACTTGTTACAAATGCTATTAAAAATATCAATAATAATATATCTGAAAGACTTAGTTTATTAATATTAACAGCTGCTGCTCGATGTGTTCATCATGTTACACCAGAGAAGCGTGTTGAATTATTAGAAGAAGTAAAATAGAATATCTATATTGTTAAATTATTCTATTTAATCGTTTTTTTTCTATTCAAGGCATGGAAAACATTAAATGAAAAAAAAGTTCGTTTAACAACACGTCATTATGAAACATATTTAAGTGGTTTAAATGAAAATGGTTTTATATTCGATGCTGATTATTATTTAAAATTAATCGATAGTGAACAAATACAAGCAACACCACGTTTATATAGTTTACTTTTAACTCAGTATAATATTTTTTATTGAAATAAACAAATAAGTATAATTCATTTTTTTGTTTTATTTAAATAGATATTGTCGTGAAGGTAATACAGATCGTGCACAAAATTTTTTAAAAATGCTTAAAGAACGTAATGTAAGCATCGACGAAGATATATTTGCTGCATTAATTGTTTGTCAACTTAAACTTGGAAATGATAAAGGTGCTAATGATATAATACAAATTATGAAAGAACGTGGTTTACAACCAACAATATCAACATACAAAGAAATTTTAACAGCACTTATTAGTGAACATAAATTAGAACAATTTGAATATTATTTTGGTCAGATTGAATCTCAACAACGTCAAACATCATCATCAACAGTGTATATTGATTCACATTTTGTTGTTATTCTACTTGGACAATGTATTTCATATAAAGAACGACCTATATTTGATTTATTATTAAATACATTAAAAGAACTTGATCATGGACGTATACCAAATAATTTATTTAATTTAGCTATACAATGTGTAACCAATGGTTGGCATGAATCAGCTATTGAATTATTACAAATGCAATCGGAAAGTGAAATAGTTGAGGAATCCGATTCACCTTATCAAGGTATTTATGGACGACATTGGGTACTATTTTTCAGGTATGATTATTGTTCTATTTAAATGTTGTGTCTTCTTTTTTCTTTTAATATCATTTATTTGATTTTGTTAATATTTATATTTAGACAATTACTTGAGAATAAAGAACCACATTTAATCGATATATATCTTGAATTAATGATGCAAAAAAATCTTGTACCACTTGATAGTATTCTCCGTGTTTTGTATACAACATCAAATGAAGATAATCGTTTAGCACTTAATTATCTTGAACGTGCACAAGAATTACATCATCCAATGCGTACAAATTATTTCTATCCACTTTTATTAAATGCATATTCATCTGAAACATCTCAAAATTGGACCGACGATGATCGTTTACGTTTATTTCGTTTACTTGATCGTTTATCTATACCAATTGAATCATCAACATATTCACGTTTGATTCAACAATCATTTCATCAATATTATAAAAATGATTTTACTTCATTATTAAATATGTTAGCAACAAATAATCTACAATCTATACTTGATCGTATAAGTCGTTTGTTATTAGCTGATATTCGACGAAATATACTTGATTTAAATATTGTTCAACAAATAGCTCCATATTTTCGCTTACAAACACGTACAAGACAAGAAGAATTTGCAAGATACTTATTTTCAATTATGTCTAATATATCAACAAAGTAAAAATCATTATTTTAATTTTATCTTTTCAGCTTAATCTTCATTTTTAATATTAATTATAGAACAAATAAAGAAAATCCCGAAGATTCTTCATCAACATCTATGAATAAATTAACATCAATATTTCAATTAATTGATTCAATATCAAAAACTGTATCAGATGATATTCCAATGCTTAAATATGAATTATATTTACATTTACTCCGTTATTCAGCACAACAACGTCGAACTGATATAACAACTCGTTTAGCTGAACAATGTATTCAAGAAAATGTTAAATTAGGTGGTTCAATGAATGAAATTGATTTATTAACTGGTTATACTTTACCACGTGATATTGTTGAACAATTAGCACGTTATAAACCAGGTGAATTATCATGGAAAGAAAAACTTTCATCAATGGATATACAAAAAGCAAATCGTTCGAAATTAGAACAAATATATCAAGAAGCAAAACAAGATGGAAGATATCCATTTAATGTACAACAACGATTATTAAATATTTATATTCAAAAAAAATCTATTCAACAAGCATTTACTCTTTTACATGAAATGGTTTCAAATAGAAATCAGGTTTGAATTGATAAACTCTGCGAGATGCAAGATACTTTAAACAATTTATCTATAAATACATAATTAATTATACGAAATAGTTATGGATTTTGATATACATGATAGTAAACAGTTTTTAGTTTCATTAGAAAAGTTGCAATCAATTATCCTAGTGAGAAAAAACTTCTCAGGTTTCCAAATCATCTCAATAACTCTATATCCGGGTTTTTTCTTCTTCTCATTAATACAATCGATGTAGAGAATATCAATATTGATATTTACCATTTAAAAAAAATCAAAAAAAAAGGAAAATATTTAGCAATCATTTTAGACACTGTTTAATTCCAGTATACTTGTAAATTTGCGAATTATTCCTCTTCAGTTCAATCTTTTAAACACATAATGAATATGTATTTAATATTTAGATCGATTCATCTGTTCTTCACCGTTTATTCGATCTTACAACTGTGAAAATGGATGATAAAAATGATACATCAAAAGCAGATCATCAAAATGATTTAAAATTCTTATGTGATCTATATGAAAAATCATTTGGTCTTGTTAATTTACCATCAGAATTAATATTTCGTTTAGCACATATGCATCTTCTTAATGGTGATCAGGAGACTGCAATCAAAATCATATCAAATAAAATAAATTCAAATTTAAATAATGAAACTTATCATTATTTAATAAAATTTCTTGAAATAAATTCATCAGTAATAACTAGTGATGGTTTAATATCAATAGGAAATTTATTTCTTAATTTTCGTACAAATGAATCCGTACGAAAATTCTGGAATTTATTTTTCGATATTCTGTTAGAAAAAACAAGTCCACAAGATGTTGTTCAATATTATTCTGATGCTATGAGAGAAAATAGCAATGTACCGTATCTTCATTTATTTGATGTAATTAATTCTAAAATTAAAGAAAAAAAAGAGAAATTAGATTTATTTTCTTATTTTCTTTATAGTTATTTATTCAAAAAGATGAATTAAATCGTTTACAAGATATTGTTGATATAGCAACATTACAACATGGACCACGTAATGTTTTACATGATCTTGGATTTTCATTGATACAAAGTGGTAAAATAAAACAAGCTGAAAAAATCTTTCAAACACCATGGTTAAAAGCAAGAAATGATCGAATTAATTTACATGCTTTACTTTTTGCTGGTAACGAATTAAAAGAAAAGAATTTATTATTTCTAATTAAGTTTATGTTTTATTGTAGATTCAAATAATCTTGATGCATTGATTGATTCTATTAAATTAACGCGAAGTTTAGCTAATGTTGATCAAAAACAATTATTTACATCAGCTATTCGGTAAAATAAAATCATAGGAAATCAAGAAACATTTTTTTTCTTCTGTTTAATAGTGTGGCTATACGTCTTGATAGATCAGATGTTGTCGATTGGTTATGTAAAGATATACAAGAAAATCAAATTCATCTTGATATTCGAATAAAAAAGTATGTTAGATATTTTTAAGTTTTAAACAAATATCTCCTGAAAATACAACGTATGAATTATTTTCTATTGCCGTTATAAGACAGATATCATTATCAATACAATGATTTATATTGTTGTACAATTATTTTCTTTTGAAAACAATATTATTTGACATTCTACATATAACAAAGGATCTATTTTCTTGAACTCTGAATAGAATCTATCAGTTATATTTGTTCTGTTTAATCCATTATGATATTTACATATACAGAGTGTAAAGAAGAGATTAAGTTTTTGAGGTTACATACATGGTTAATCTATGGTTAGCAAGAGATATTAATATTTGATATTTTTTAGATTTCTCAATGCTCATTTATTATCAAAAGGTCTTGATCCATTAAATATAACAGACAATGAAAATAATGAGAATTCAATGCCATTCGATGACACAGGTATGAATATTTTATTTTAAGATATACTTCAATTGTTTTTTCTATTTTATTTAGTACCCGCTCAGGAACAGCACAAGATGAGTGCTCAAAATTAAATATGAAACAGTTTCTTTTAGGTTAATTTGTGTTGCTCCCTGTTCGTTTTGTTTTTTGTTAAATCGTATTGAATTTTTTTCTTTATGTTTTGTTTTGTTTTTTCTCCTCTTTACTTTCGTTATCCATCATAAAAACTACAACATATTCAAAAAAAAAAAAAGAAAAACATGCACCTGTATCAATCATTGAAAATTTACAATGAGATCAACTGATAATTTTTCAACATTAAAAGACGGATTTATAGTGAGACTAGAAGATGTGTTTTTTTTTCTTTGCTATTTTATGACCTTTCATATTTTATGATAAGAATAAAACCCATCTGTAAAAGAATAAATGCACAAAATACTTACGAAAATTTCTTGCTACTGAAGAAATTTAACCAACATGAATAAATTTCTATTTTTGATTTTTTCGTTTCAATTATTTATCACACAAATATATACCGAACAGTGTGAACTAACATTGAATGATGAAACTCAATTAACATTCAATACATTTCTGCAAGCAAAAAAGTTTTGTAGTTCAACTAGTTTACCTACAAAAAATACACGTCGAATTATTCTTACTGGTCGTTTAGTTGATTATACAACACGGTGTAAACGAAGTATAACTGATGCAAATATTGAAATAATACATATTCAATCAGATCTTCGTTCAGTTTGTCACGAACTTCATCATCCAGATTCACGTGGTTATTATACTTTATCAACTTCTGTGACAATACCATCAACTGAACAATTGTTTTTACGTATAACATCACCTGGTTATGAAACAGTTTTAAAAGAAATTATTATACCATCATCAGAAAAGAGACAAAAAAATATTATTCTTAAGTGGCAAATTGCGTTAACACCTAGTCAAGAACAAATTGAAACATATCAGCAACAACAAGGACGTATGGATTCTACTATTGATGATCTAATGTCTAAAATGACATTAGAAGAAAAAATTGGTCAATTAAATCTTGTTACAGTTGGTTTTGATGTTACTGGCCCAATTGTAAGTGAAAATGTTGATGAAAATATTCGTCTTGGTCGTATTGGTGGTGTTTTTAATACTTTTACACCAAAAGCTGTTCGTCCATTGCAAGAACTTGCTATGAATCATACACGTTTAAGAATTCCACTTATATTTGGTTATGATGTTATTCATGGACATCGTACTATTTTTCCAATATCATTAGGTATGAGTACAACATGGGATATGGCATCGATAGAAACAAGTGCACGTATTGCTGCTCAAGAAGCAACAGCTGATGGTCTTAATTGGGTTTTTTCACCTATGGTTGATATAGCACGTGATGCACGTTGGGGTCGAATATCAGAAGGTGCTGGTGAAGATCCTTGGTTAGGTAGTCAAATCGCTGCAGCAATGATACGTGGATATCAAGGATCTGATTTAACTCAATCAAATACAGCTATGGCATGTGTTAAACATTTTGCTTTATATGGTGGTGGAGAAGCAGGCCGTGATTATAATACAGTAGATATGAGTCGTATAACAATGTATCAATATTTTCTTGCACCATATCGAGCAGCTATTGATGCCGGTGCTGGCAGTGTAATGACATCCTTTAATGAAGTTGATAGTGTTCCAGCATCAGCTAATCGATGGTTATTACAAGATTTATTACGTGAACAATGGAAATTTAATGGATTTGTTGTAACAGATTATACATCAATTAATGAAATGGTTGATCATGGTATAGGTGATTTACAAGAAGTTAGTGCACGTGCATTAGATGCAGGTGTTGATATGGATATGGTTGGTGAAGGATTTTTAAGAACATTAAACAAATCCTATAGTGAAGGAAAAATAAAAGAACAAATAATAAATCAAGCATGTCGTCGTATTCTTGAAGCAAAATATAAATTAGGTTTATTTGATGATCCATATCGTTATTGCGATGATTCACGACCAGATACCGATATATTTACAAATGAAAATCGTTTAGCAGCAAGAGATTTTGCCCGTCGTTCATTTGTTCTTCTTAAAACTGATCGAAAAACATTACCATTAGCAAGATCAAATTTAAAGATTGCTCTTATTGGACCATTATCTGATGATCATAGAAATCTAATCGGTAGTTGGAGTGCTGCTGGTGATTGGCGTCAAAGTGTAAGTGTACGTGAAGGTATTAATAAACTTGTTGGTAATCAAACACAAATTTTATATGCAAAAGGATCTAATCTTGTTGAAGATGAATATATGCTTAAACAACTAAATGCACATGGTGGTGAAATTGAATTAGATCAACGAACTCCTGAACAAATGATTGCTGAAGCTGTAGAAATATCAACAAGATCTGATGTTATTGTTGCTGTTGTTGGTGAATCACAAGGTATGACAGGTGAAGCAGCAAGTCGAGTAGATATTGGATTACCTGAATGTCAAAAACGTTTACTTAAAGCATTATTTGATACAGGTAAACCTGTAGTTATTGTATTAATGAATGGTCGACCAATGACATTAACATGGGAACAAGAACATGCAGCAGCAATTTTAGAAACATGGTTTGCTGGTACAGAAGCTGGTAATGCTATTGCTGACGTACTTTTTGGTTATTATAATCCAGCTGGTAAATTAACAACAACATTTCCTCAGCACGTTGGACAAATTCCATTATATTATAATCATAAAAATACTGGACGGCCATTCAATGCATCACAATTTACTGATAAATATAAAGTAATAAAATAAGAAAACTATTTTGTTTTTTTTAAATAATTGTATTCTTTTTTATTTTAGAGTCGTTATTTAGATATCCCTAACGAGCCTTTATATCCATTTGGTTATGGTTTAAGTTATACAACATTTAATTTTAGTTCAATAAATGTTGATAAAACTGAACTTCATGGTGATTCAGATCGTTTAACTGTTCGTGTTCTTATACGTAATACAGGTGCATATTCAGGTGAAGAAGTTATACAATTATATATAAGTGATCCAGCAGCAAGTGTAACACGAGCTGTACGTGAATTGAAAAATTTCAAAAAAATATATCTCCGATCACAACAAAGCGAAGAAATTTCATTTGTTATAACAACAGAAGATTTGAAATTTTACAATACTAATCTTGATTACGTATGGGAAGAAGGAGATTTTATTATTCATGTTGGTCCTGATTCCGTTAATACTCAATCAATACGAGTTAAATGGCTCAAATAGGACAATACAAAATAAAACTATTTTCCTCTATTTTTTTTCATACAAGCATAAATAAAAGCAAAATAAATTTTATTTTAACACCGTATCTTAATTTATTATTAAATTGCAAATGCCTTTTCTGCATTCTTATAAACAGATTAAAGTTTTTTTTATTCTACAAAAAACTAAAATTAGAACATTTAATATCAAAAACTGTCATATTAAAAGATTTGTAATACATAAAGTAGATCAAAATATAAATACATGTTTCTTATTTATAAAGGTTAACAAATGATATCGATTGTTCGATATATTGTATATAGAAGTAAATATATGTATTTATATAAAAAAGAAATTATAGAAATAGATGCTTTCATCACAATCACAATAATCTTTCTCTCATGCCGTGCATTTGTCTCACACTTGTTATTATTTCAAACAGCTTTTTCTTTCTAACATAGTGAAGTGCTTGTGTATAATATTGTGTATTTTTAAAATATGATGAGTATAGCAAAAATCAACATTCTCGTCTATAAGTTCATTTATTTCTTTTATTTCCAATAGATTCTATCAATAGTTGATCATTGTTTGTCCTTGAAAAGTATTTTCTTTTTTTCTTCATTCTTTATTTTAATTATTCATTCGATTTATCTTTTTTATCAACGTTTCAAATTTCTTCTAGCATATTTAATTCAAAAGATTGTCCCGCCTTTTTTTCTTCTTAACACGCATGTATATATATATATATATATATATAAATATAAATCGGTCACTTGACAAGCTTCTATAATCGGATATTATTCCATTTGTATTCTTTTATTTTTAACTAGTTATTCAATAGATTTTACATCATGCATTGTTAAAAATCTTTAGAATAAATCACATAGAATTGACATTGAACGTTGTCGTCTTTTTATAAGCATAATATGTTAGTAAGTACGTGTGTCATACACGGTTGATTTTTCTTTTTCAAACTATAACGATTGATTGACGAAAGAAATGGAGAGAAGTATAGGTAATTTGCTACACGAATCAAACTTCAATTGTTCGGCTGTATACGTGGCCAATCGACGTATATAAACGCCGTAAATTATAGCCTATGAGACGAAAGAAGAGAAAGGTGATTGTCGAGAGATAACATACATGCACGTAGTGTAAACGTCAGTATGTGTATGTAATTAGTGCATATATGAATATAGACATACACTAATAATTTGCACCAATATATTTAGGCAAGAGACACACTTGACTTAAAATATGAAAGAAAAAAAAGAAAAATTTTTTTCCTTTGACATTGGTAGATATAAATCGAATAGTATTTTGTTTGAAATGTGTGTGAGAAAGAGAGCATTTGTTTGTCTACACTTTTACGAATAACTACCAGTGAAATGAATTCTTTAAACTGCAGACAAAAAAAATCAAAAGGCTATTCGATATGTCTTTCTGTCTTTCTTTCATTTTTTTTCATATTTTATTCTTTTTCTACTTCTTTTATTGTTTGTATGAAAGAAACCTTTCTTATGCTCACTTATTCTTCTATTCAAATCTGGAATGTCACTTTTGCTTGTTGAGAATATTCAAAACTAAAAGAGCAAAGATTGAATGTTTACTCGACAGATGACATTGTCCGTTTCATTTCTTTTTTCCCTTCTTCTTCTTCTTCTTGTTCATGTCTGCTATAACTAATTGTCTTAATTCATAATTTACTCGCATAATGTAGACTTATGTCGGTTCAATGTATGTTGACGAAACAAACACAACACTTAATTTCTTTGTGACAACGAGTTTTTTATGCTTATATGAAGAAAAGAAAAAAGGTACCGCGCGATAATTTTTTATGAAATATTTAAAGAGTAAGTAGTTATGTTTTATAAGTATAAGAACGATTCAATCAAATAGAGAGCATTGAAATTGTCAGATGAACAACATGATTATGAGATGAGCAAGATTGCAATTAGAAAAAAAAGGTATGCTGGCAAGTGTCAAAGTCAAACTGAAAAAAAAAGATGTGAATATATATATAGTGAGGTGCGAAGACAACTTGCTGTGATGATCGGTTAATAGGACTAATTTGAAAGAGAGCTCTTTTCAGTCAGCATGATCTGCTCGTTCAACCTTCACGCACGACCCTGTATATTATTATATAGAGGTTTTGTTAGCAGAAGTTGTGATACTTTGCTTATGTTTCTTTGTCATCATCTCTCCAATATAGTATGATGCTTTTCATTTACATGTCGATTATCGTAGAAGGAAAAAGAGATCTGTTGCTTCTCATATTTCTTCTTTCTTCCTTTCTTTCTTTTAGTAGTATATTTCTCTTTTTTCTTTACACATTCGTCAACTTATTTCTCATTGGCTGTACTGTTCGTCTTATCGTGCCACCAATCATGACCATTCTAATTATCCATTCCGTTTGACGACAAGAACGATGACGTTGAGTGGAAGAGAAATACAGAAAAAAAGAAAAGAGAGAAGTATTGATTCGTACCTTAATTAATCTTTTCTGTTCTGATCCAGAGTGTTAGTAATAGTAGTGAGGTTTGAGTATGTAGAAAAAGAGAGAAATTGGTAATCGAGCACCAATAGTAACCGAGAGAGAATAAGAGAACCTTTCTCGTCTCGTGTATGCGTTTATTAGGCGATGGCTGTCTTACAGCTATTATGAAGCTAAGGCAAATGTAGAGAAGAGAAAAGAAAACAGTATGATAAAAAGAAAATGATACTGAAACTCAATTCGACGACGAACGAGAACAAGAATAAGAAGAAAAAAAATGAGAGAAAGAGAGAAGCGAGAAAGAACAACATTAAGACATAGAGACACTCTACCAACCACCGAGAAAATGATATACATCCAACCTGCGCGCGAGCCCGAGAAAAAGAGAAGGAGCGAAAGAGAGAAGAAAAAAATATATATATTTATATATATATATTCACTACCTCTCTCAATACTTAACGGTACATTGCGTTAAAAAGCAAAAGAGAGAGAGGGAGAGAAAGAGCAGAAAGAAATATCGAAACACATACGACAAGTGATACCGACAGTCGATAATCCTTTCTTTTTCTCTATCTTATTCTAATGCTCGATTGACTTTGGACAAAACAAGACAATTAATAAAAACACATTTGACAGGTTTGTCTCTATTACTTATAATTGATCAATTTCAATCAACAAAAAAAAAGAATAACTAGCAATAAACAATATCAATTAGAATTCTTTCATTTATTTATAGATAACTATACTTTTGTTTTATTTAACCATATATAAATCGTCAAAACGTTATCACTCAAGACTCTTCTACCAGCGCCACGTCCGCTATTAGCGAACGTTGGCCTGGTTTCAACGCCATCATCGTCCATACCACCACACAAAACTAAAACATCTATTAGTCGATCACCTTCATCTTCATCATCAAATTCATCGTCATCCGGTTCATCAAGATCCCGTTCTCGATCGCCAATTTCTCGTCGTTCACGTTCACCAACACCTGATAAACCACCAACACCATCATCATCTACACCTCCTGTACACATTAATAATTCCAATGTATCATCGTCATTATTACAACAACAAGCAGCTGCAGCAGCCGCACTGTTTTCTAGTGGTTCTCTTAGTTCCTTATTACCTATGTATAGTATGGGCCTTTTTCCAATACCTCCTCCACCACCTCCACCACCGATTATGCCTGCAGTGAATTTTTCATCTGAACAAATCGCTCGTGTTTGTGAAACATTAGAAGAAAATGGTGATATTGATCGTTTGGGAAGATTTCTTTGGTCATTACAAGTTGCACCTGGTTCAGCAAATTTACTAGTACAACATGAAAGTATTTTACGTGCTCGTGCACTTGTAGCATTTCATTTGGGTAATTATCGTGAACTATATCATTTATTAGAAAATCATAAATATACACGTGATTCACATGCTAAATTACAAGCTATGTGGATGGAAGCACATTATCAAGAAGCAGAAAAATTACGTGGAAGACCATTAGGACCAGTAAGAATATAAATTTTATTTTTCTAGATTTTAATATTATTAATTTTTTTAAATAATTAAAGGTTGATAAATATCGTGTAAGAAAGAAATATCCATTACCACGTACAATATGGGATGGTGAACAAAAAACACATTGTTTCAAAGAACGAACACGTTCATTATTAAGAGAATGGTATTTACAAGATCCATATCCAAATCCGGCCAAAAAACGTGAACTTGCACAAGCAACAGGATTAACACCGACACAAGTAGGAAATTGGTTTAAAAATCGACGACAACGAGATCGTGCAGCACAAGCAAAAAATCGGTATAATTTTAAATAATATTTCATCCATTTTTTTATATATAAACTATCCTTGAATATTCTAGACAACAATATGGGTTAGGTGCCGGCAGTTATTCTCCGCCGTCATCACCTGATTCTTCAACAACGTGAAGAGCAAAATAAAATAAAACATACAAAAAAAATCGTCTCCCGGTGCTCTCTCGGTAAGGGAGACTCTTATTGTATCTATAAATATTTTCTTTCGTTCTTTTTTGTTCAGTGATTTTTTTTCTTCTTCGTTTCTTGCTGTTGTTGTTTGCTATTCTAATACTATTACTATAACTATCACCTAGCTTTTCTTTTTGTCGCTTTGTTTCAGATGTTTCATTTTTCTTTTTTTTTTTTCTTTTTTTGCGTTTCTGAACAACAATTTATCGAATCACCAAAAAAATAAAACATATATATCAATTATGAGAAAAGAAAGCCTATGGATGGATACAATGGCCGTGTAATTGACAAATGTTTCATTGCTCTCGTATGCCAGTTGATAAACACATCAACGTTTGTTTTCACTAGATCGTCTCCCTAATCGTTTGAGCGAGCGTATGTGGTTCCGTTCTCTTTCTCTTGTAATTATCCGATTCGCACGGATAAACATGCCGCTAGCCAGAGAGACTAACAGACGATTTACTTATCCATTTTTTCCTCCTCCTTCTTCTTCTTCTTCTTTTTTTGCCTACTATAACTTGTCGTTTTTTCTTCTGCTAATATTTATCATTGACATCTTTTGCTCATAGACACACAGAGAAACAGAGAAAAAAATTGGGATAATCATCATAATTGACGCTTGTCTTTTTCTATTATTTATTAGAGAAATGAAAATTATTTATACATTAATTTTTCATTAAGAATTTCTTAATCGACAATTGACAGTATATGTTCATAAAGATTTCCCTTGATTCAGTTAGATTTTTGAGAAATCACATACACATACTCATATATATATGTCTATATAGATATACATATATTGTATTTAATGATTGGTTGAAAAAAAGAAAAGAAAAAGTTTAATCAGGCGGTAAATGCATCGAATCAGATTGTTGAGAGAAGCAAAAATCAATGGTGGTGATATAGCGTGCAGTCAAGGAGAAGGCCGACACATTTATACTAATTGCAATAGTTCATTATGTAAACGTTTTTTTTTAAACATGTTAAATGATTGAACAGATGATTAAGAGAACAACTCACCGTGGGGTTCCAACTTTTTATTTTTGATCTAAAACTTTCATAGTTTATTATTATTATTTATTTTCTTCATTGAAATTCTCACTTTCTCTCTCTCATCGATTCTTTTACAAATTAATGACTAAGTTTGTGTGTGTGAAAAAAAAATGCATGTTTCGATGTTTAATGATGATGTAACTTTTGTCATCATTATCAACACTATGATATTATCAATATATATCTATCTTCCTATCTACCTATCGCATTTGTATGTGTCGATCACTTGTCACCTTGACCATCTTTAACACAGAATCGCAAGTCATATCTTCAGGGATACAAAAACTTTTCGTTTTTAAATATTTTACTACGTATTATATAAAATAGATTTCATATAAATGATTATAGAAAAGAAAATAATCACTTTTCTATATATATATATATTATTTTTTATAAAATGTAAGTGTATTATAGTTAATCAAGAGATGATGAAGTGATTGACAATATCTTTTTGAAATAGAATACAAGAAAATGTGTTCTATGTATGTGAAAACAAGCAGTTATTTAATCGTCAATCGTATTGATAATATAGATAAATGAACAAAAGAAAGATGCAATAATTTGTATATATAGTGTTCATGTTTCACATCCTCAGGGTGTGAGATGATAATGAAGATTGTTCTATTATTATTATTATTGTTGTTGTTGTTATTCTTGAAGAATTAGAATGGCAACTGGTGAAAGATCTAGTAAGCAGAGAGGAAAAAAATCTGACAGAGATAATTATCCGGCATATATATAGACAGAAAGGACAAGTGGTAATGTCTGAACGAGGAAGAGAGAGAGAGAAAACTCGTCAACTATCTAGCTAAGACAAGAGTATGTGTCTGCTGAAGGCATTAATCTGTGGTGAATTTCCAAGTAATCGAATTGATTATAAATCAGTCGACAAGAAGGAGAACGATCCGCCGCTAGGCAGACAGAATAAAGAATCAGATTTCATCAGACGCATGCCAATGTAGATGTTAAGACGTTTATTTTTCAGAACGAACGAGATTGCGGAAACTATTTCTATGTTATATTACGCTCTCGATCTTCAAGGCGGAGAAGAAGAACAAGAAGAAAAACTCCCACTATCGGGCAAGAAAAAAAGCGAAAGAAAAAAAAGATTAGGATGAATGATCCTATCGTCTTTTGATATGGATGATTAGCTACACAGGCGAATACAACACATCTATTCTCGCTATGAATGTACGTCACTGGGTGTTAAATTGTGGCGCGTTGTCGACGATAGAAGGAAATGGAAGATAATCTTGTTAGCTACATCGACCGATCATCATCACTACCATCATCATTATTATTATTATTATCATCATCATCGTAGACCATCAGTGTGAAACGACAGTAGAAAAAGAGACTGATTGATTTCCGTACCCAGATGCTCAAAAGAAAAGAAAAAAAAATGAAACAAAATGAAAGTCTGTCAATAATAGCGCTAATGTTACCTATTAATAGTGTATCTTTTCAATAGTTTCAAGTAATATTAATTATTGTATTTCATTTAAAATCTGATATACAGAAGCCTTTTTTCTATATTTATATACAAATGAAATCATTTGAACAAACATTAATACAAGTCAGTTTTGATCATCATTCGATTGTATCCATTGAACAGCAGTTCTTCTCAGCATGAGCTTAAATAAATAGACTAATCAATACTCATAACATCATCTGTCCTAATGTATGAATGAATGAATGAATTCGTCAGAGTTCTATATAACATAGACATTATCCGGATTTTTTTCTTTTAAAATGTATTGATCTTTCGAAAAAGACTAATTGTAAATTGTTCATTTACTCATTGGCCAGGTGTTAAATTGTATGCACTTCTAATCACTGATCATCATCAACAGATTGAGAACGTAAAGCACAAGGCGTCAATTGGTAAACATTTTGTTTTCACACTTTTTTTTCTTCTTTTCAACAATGTTTGATCCTTCATATTGTCGTTGTCGTATACGCCTCAAGGGATTTTTGTTATCCGCATTGGAACTGTCGATCAAAAAAGTATAAAATGAAAACGACTTAATAAAAATATTGACAAGCATATGTCTGTATATGAATATATGTATGTGTGAGAGAAGAAGTAAAGAAAAAGCTTAATGCAATTCGAGTATTGTCGAAAGCTTCTATCTAAGGCGAATGACAAATATTATCTTATATAAATGTATGTATTATATTTATGTATATACATATATACATAGTTTGATCGTTGAGAATCAGTATTGAACGATGACAAGTGGAAATAGGAAAAGAAGGAGACTACACAGGAGTTTTATTTATCTGCATAATGGACGAGATGGCCGCGAGCTATGGCTAACATGTTCACTTTAGCAGTTTTTTTAATCTATTTAATAGTCAAACGATAGATAAATACAAAAGAATAAAAATAATCACGTTGAAGATTATGTATTGATGTGTAATTAATAAAGAAAACGAAGTTTTATTTTTTATAATTCAACAAATCAAATTGATTTTTCTTTGCGTTTCAATTTCTTATTTTTTTTCTGAATTGCTTTCAAACATTTTTGATATGTTAACAGAAAATTAATCATAGTAACCTACTCGATAAGTGTGAGTGCTCTCAATAAATCTTTCGAGCGTAAAAGATGCGAACAGCATGTCAATGGTCTGCAATTGTTTATATGAAAGATATTCGAATGGTTGACTGATTCAACACTCAGATAACATCGTGGTTTTGTCTTGCACTTCTCAAATGTGTTGTTTAAAACATTGTCTTTGACATTAAAAATTAGTAATAAGTAGGATAGACAGATGTTCAAGCGTAAGTTGAGTATCTCATTAGAGAAACATTGACCAAGAAAGAAGAACAAGAAGAACAAGAGATATGTTCCGTCACTTTGTTTCAATCTGTTTAATGAACTTTCAACATCATTTTTCTATACATGCTTTTTTAAATGAGACTTAATGTCATAACATTTTTGTCATTCAACTGTACGTTAATATTATATCGAAAAAAATAAATTAACCTCATTTAATTTTTGCATTTCAATTTATAACTACTCGACTTTTTTTTTCTTGAATATATAACAATGTTTCAATGATTTCTAAATGAAAATCGATGATTGTACATGGTGAGAGCACACGTTGAAGTTAACTGTGTAAAGAGCAATGAAACTCATATCAGCAGGGAATCTTTTTAACAAGAAGGATAAGAATAAGATTGAAAGATTTATACACGTTATGTGGCACATATATGAATGTGTTGTCTTAACCGATAATGATATCTATTCTTGTGTGATTTTAACACTTCATTAAAAAAAGTTGATGTTAGGAGATCCTTTTTCTTTTTCTTCTTCTTCTTCTTCTTCTTCTGTCAATGACTAAATATAAAAAGGAAATGAGAATGCCACCATTTAATTTCACACACCTATATACACTATTATTGGATCGTGCTATGCAATGAATGACATGACATCCGTGAGACGCTCATGCACATTCATTGATAATGATGATTATGGTTATAGTATGAAAAAAGGTGTGTATACTTTGCGCGAGAACGAGTAAATTCTGTCTGACAAACGTTTCCGATTTACAGACTGCGTTACCGCGTCTACTTATTTGATAAAGAAATGAAGTGTATGAGATGAAGGTGTTAAAAGAGGAAATTGATCGTTTCCGTCAACAGATAGATATAAAAGTACTCATTACTTGTACCGCATTTTATTTCTTTATTTTACTATACTTAAATTTTTTTTCTATTCTTTATTTTATTATGTACAGTAATCATAGAATTTGGTTAATTTGCCTATCAGCAATTTACAATCATCATAAACAAATATCTCGTTAGTTTTAACGATTCGAAACACTTATTATAATCTATATTGAGATAGGAGACACTCCGCCTTTCCTTTTTCTTTCTTCACACTTTGGCGCAATTTGGATGATGATGGTGATCATCATCATCATTTGATGAAGAGACATCTCTTAAATATTTCTACTGAAGAAATGTTGTTAAGTATAATCTTTCTCTTGTCATCATTTCTGTTCAACTAACTGATTGAACTGAGAGTATAGGACGCGACGAAATATTAACGCTCATGTCATGTAAGACTTTATTCTCTTGAGAGAGTCAGACGAATGCGGATTACTATGACAGTTCGATTGCTGATGAATGTTCTCGTGAGATGGAGAAAAAGAAAAAGAGTTGAACTAAAAAAAAAAATAACAGACGATGAAGACGACAAGTGACATGCAACAATCTTTTTTCTATTGAGATGGATAAAAAAATACACTATTACCATTCGATACACATACACACATGTCGACACAAAATGATTTATTCATGATTGCTTACTTACTTACTCTATACTAAATGCACATAAAAGAAGACATGGAAAGAAAAGTACAAGAAAGGCTCAAATAATGATTGTGATGATGATGATGATTCTCATTTTCTTTTTGTAGCACGCACATACATAGAAGATAACAGATCATTGTGTCTTATGAATAATAATAATAATAATAACAATGATAATATTAAATGAAAATCAAAAGATCTTTAAAAATATATTACATATAATATTTATGACATTTTTCTATTATTCTCTTAAAACTATAAAATTCAACTGCGAAAAAAAAGACTATGTATTCTAAAGCGTTTCAATCGGATTGATATGAGATTATAATGGTATTATACAAATTTTATATAAATTATTACATCTCATAAAAATATTTGAAAATGCATTTAACAAGATTTTCTTTGAAAATCATGTCAATATTCTATTAACTATATAACTAAAACATATCTTATCATAATTCTATACAACATTATTTAAAGAATGCAATAAGCCTAGGAAATATATATTTATCATTAGAATTATTTCGATTGTAATACTAACATTTTATTTGAAACAAAATTGAAAGATCAAATTATTTAAAATATACTCTATAGTGTAAAATGAACATATACAAGCGACACAGTTAGGACGTGTATTTATTTGTCTATGAACAGAAACCAATAGTATATTTAACTGTATATTCTTCCCCATAAATTAAAATTTTTTAAAATTCTTAGCTGTCTAATAGTAGTAATGCGTGAATCTCCGCAATTTTGGCGATTAACATCCTATTGTAAGTTTATAAAACAATTTTTCATGTTTTTTTACTGTCTTTGTCGTAGATGATTGTACTGGTCGTGGTCGTCCAAAAGGATTTTGTGTAGAAATTTCACCACCATCACCACATATTCCTTCTTCCGAACTAATTTCAAATGAAGTATCAAAAAATAATCATTCATTTGAATTATATCCTGAACTTATACCACCATCTGTTCCTCTCTCAAGTGATGATTATGAAGAAGAAATAGAGAAGAAAATTGATAACGAACAAATTCTTACTTCTAAGATTATAATTGAAAATAAAAAAGATACAAAAAAAATTCATAAAAAAAATAAATATCAAGATTTACCAATTGTTTGTCCATCTATTGAATTACCTGTGAAACGTGATGAAAATAAAAAAATATCAATTACTCTTTTACCATGTTTACAATTTCCTCAATCATATAGTTCACCAAGTGAAATTACTATTGAATTTTGGCGACGATACCATACAATGCGTGTATCATTTTCTCAAAAAGAAGTTGGATATTTTTCAACCGCTGATCGTGCTGATCGAACACGATGTCGAGAAGATTATCGATATTTAAAAAAATTAATTTATCCATTGGAACAAAAAAAAGTTCAATTTGATCTTAATATTGGTGCTGAATATCTTGATGCAAAAGTAAAAGTTTTTGACTTAAAATCTTTTTTTATACTATTATTTAATAGGAACCACCAGCTTCACTTGATTCAATCATGTGGTGGATTATTCAACATAAAAAAGAATTATTTATTGATAAAAAGTAAGAATCAATTAGATTTCCAATTCTTTGATTAATTTTTTCATTCTAAAATTTAGATTTACTTTTGATTTTCTATGTTGGCGTGGAACATTACGTAAAATAATGTCATCTTTATTTGATACAGTTCTTGATTGGCGTATCGGAATTATTCGATGGCATGGTTGTCATTTTATGGTAGTTTTTCATACTGAAACAGAAGTAAACATTGAGAATGAACAAACTCCCATTGAAAAACGTATGCAATATTGGGGACATAAATTCGAAGATTATATTACAACCGATACACCACCATTATTTCCATCACCAAAAAAATTTTTCTCAACAATGAATAAAGCTACACTTGGTCGTCATAGATTACTATATAGTTGTGAAATAGATGCTTGTACATTAAATTCAACATATAATGAAGAAAAAAAACAAGGCACTTATGTTGAAGTCAAAGTTACTTATGCGAAACATTTACTTGATTTAAATACTGTTTCGTCTCGAAAATATTCAAAATGGTGAATGAAAAAATTTAAATATTGTTTTTTTAATAATCTATTGAATATTGTAGGTGGCAACAATGTTATTTAGCTGGTATTAATCATATGTTACTTGGTTTTCGAAATAATTATGGTGTTGTAGAATATTTACAACCACTTTGTACAAAAGATATTGAAATTCGAGCAGTAATTTTATTAAACAAAAAAATGAAAGATGTATTTTTTTTCCTAATAGAAAACTTGGAGTGCTAGTGCATTTTTATCATTTCTTGATGAATTTTGTTCATTTGTTCAACGAACAATTACAAAAGATTGGTCATATAAAGATAGGTAAATCATAGACATTAATTGTTTTCTTATTAAATATCTATTTTTATTCTAGAGATGTTTATCTATTCTATTATTCTCCAAAGGAGAAAAAAATAAAATGGCGTTTATCAAACGAACAACAATATCAGTTTTTGCCGGATTGGTTTATCAACGAATTCTCTTGAAATATAAATATGTCTGATAAAATAATGTTGTTTTCTTTTTGTTGTCTTTTCATAAATAATTTTGTTAATAATTAATAAAATACAACAAAGCGCGTGTTATATTACATATTCTCTATGATATTTATTCATCTACTATTTTTGTTATTTATAATTCTTCTTATTTATATTTTAATCAAATGTTATGAATATAAAAATGCTCTAAGTATTTTTCTTGCGGCATTATTTATTGAAAAACTTGATTTAATTCATGTTCTATTTAATATTTCAACATATCATGTATTTCTTAATTATTTCGATTGGCTTTTAAAAAGTAATCCATTGGTTATTATTATTAGTATATTAATAACGGTTTCAATATTCTCAACAATTATGATGACATTGAAACAATGGATTAAAATAGGTGTTCTTATAACAATATTGTATTGGTTTAGTAGTTGAGAGGAAAAAAAAATAATTAAATCAAATCGAATGTTTTTCTTCCTTCATATTTTTTTCTTCTTCTTAATGAAAAATAATGGCAGGTATTTTTATATTCCTTTTTTTGTGTTGTATTTATAATTGAATTTTGTATGTATTGAAAAATGTTGCAAGAGTATCATCGTCGAATAAAACATAAGCCTTTTGCACCAATATTGAAAGGTAAAATTTATTGTTATTATCTGAAAAATTTCGTTTTTATTGTATTAGATCAAAGTTTAAAACAATGGAGAAGTGATCTTTCTATGCAAACAAATATTTCACTTTTATCTATTTCAAATTCATCAAAAAGTAATCAAAATAACGAACAATATTCAATTGATAGAGATTCATCAAGCTCTCAAGAAAGTATTTCTTCTCTACCGGATGAATATCGAGCTAAACATATAGATCTTGATCCGTATATTCTTAATAAACATTTAAATAGAATACCAAGTACTATTAGTAATTTAGTTGAGAAAGATATTGATGCATCTCTCACTATTTTATCTAATGATAATAAATTATCATATCAATGGCAACATAACAGTTATGATCCACGTTCAATCCAACCACCGCCATTCATTGAATATTTACAACAATTTCGAAAACCAAAAATAGAAATAAAACCAATTCAGCATCGACCAACTCTTTTACCAGTTCGAACAACAAAATCTGAACAACTTAAACTAGCACGACTAAAATCAACTCTTGAAAATATTTCTATTCAATCTTCTCCTAGACTAATACAACATAAAACTTCTGCTAATTCACAAAGACATGAATTAATAACACCTTCAATAAATCATATTTCACATTCACGAACTAATAGTACCAGTAGTAGCTTTCACCGATTAAAATCAGCTCAAGCATGTAAAGTTGCTCTTAAATCAAGTGCTCCTTTACATTTTTCATCATTGCTTATTAAACAAATGCAAGAAGATATTCAAAATGATAGAGGTAAATAACTTCGAAACGAATATTTTGATTTAGATTTCTCGGAGAGAAAAAATGAATCTCTAATTTTCTCTTTCTAGTTCCAAGATATTCTAAACGATTAAATAGTGCACTTCTTCGTGAACAAACAGATACATCACTCAGTTATGATTATAAAATGAAACGTGTTCATCATTGGCTTGAAAAACTCATTTCAACAGATCATATTGAATCTAATGAAAATATATCAAATGAAAGTACACTTGGAACAAATGTCGATGATAAACATGATTTGTTTTTCAATGAAAAATTATCAGATAATACTGAAAGAACATATGCTGAAGCTCATCGTGTATTACCAATATTTGAAACAGAAGTTAATCACAAAATGGAACAATATAATTTATTATTAACTCGTCTTGAATTGGATCTCTATGTCATATGATATTAAGCTATACCAACAAATTTTCTTTTTAGCATAGACAAGATAAATAAGCAACCAGCTACAACTAGAATTATTCTGTTTTACACACCCAGCAAGAGAAATTAGCGTGATTTAAATTTTAAACAAACCCTCAAAAAAAGAAATTACAAGAAAATGCTTAATGTCATTGAAGAAAAATAAAGTTTATTGTAATTCTATATGTTTTCGTATTGTTGTTGGACTTGTAGCTCGTGCCATTGTTCGACTAACAGATTGCATTGTTAATGCCATTTGTGATATATCATCCCAACGTTGTGATTGTATTAAATCTTCAAGTGATTTAAGACGATCAATTTCTTTAACACGATCTTCAAGTTCTTGTATTTCAATTCGTAAACTACTTGTTAAATCTTCTTCACTTGTAAGCTAAAAATAATTTTCAATTTTATTTTTGATATAAAAATTCAAAATAAATTTACTCGTTGTTTTAATGTACTAATAAGATTTGTTAATTGATCTTTTTCACGTAGAAGGACACTTGCTTCATCTTGTAAATGTGTATTACGTATTTCATATTCAGTCAATGAACGTTTAGCACTTAATGCATTTTGAATTTCAATATTTAATTGTCGTTGTGCTTGTCGAAGCTACAATTATATTCAATAGTAGATTTTCTAAAAAATAATATACATACGTGTGCATCAAGATCTTTATTTTTTGTTAATTCACTATCTAATTTTGATTGAATTGTTTCGATTGAACTAATAAAACTTTGTTCTTTCTTTCGTAAAGCAGCTAATTCTTTATCTTTTGCTTGTAATGTATCTGTACGATCTCGTACTGTATAACGAAGCTATTAAAATAAATATAGTATAAATACTAAAGGAGTAATTCAATGATTTTACTTGATCTAATTCTCGTTCGAATTCTTTTGTTAAATTTTCTAATCTTGATACTTCTTTCATTAAAGCTGATTTTTCATCAGCTAACTAAAAAAGAATAAATTAATGCTGAAAAGTTCCGATAAGGAAATAGAATTTACTTTATTACGAAGAAATTGAGCTTCAGTATAACGATTATCATGAGATTTAAGTTCTTGTCGAAGATTATCAATTTCTGTCTAATAGATAAGAGAAAATAGAGTTGAGAATTATAAAATAATTCAATACGTACTTCTAATTCAGCTACAATACCTTGTAAACGATCTCTTTCTCGACTAGCTAAATGATGATCATTGAGATTTCGTTGTAAATTAGTTGATTCTAATCTAATCTGATGAACTTCATCATTTAAATCTTTATTTTTATTTAATTGTTGTTCGAGCTTAAAACAATTGATTTGATTTTTAAAGAATGAAAAGAAAAACGAACTTGTTGTTCAAGTAGATGAACTTTTGTTTGAGCATTTTTTAGTTCTTCAGATGAAATACGTGATCTATCACGAATTTTTTGTAATTCTTGATCACGTGTTCGTTGTTCTTGTTCAAATGTTGATCGAGCGACTCGTAACATATCTAATTCATCCACTAAATTCTGTTTTTCAGTACCAAATTTTGCTAAAAAGAAAAAATATTAAATAATGATTACTATAACATGAAGAATTTTTACCTCGAAGATCATCTAATGCTACTGTTAAACCATGTTTTTCACTTGCTAATTGATCAAAATGTGTCGATGTATGAACAAGGTTACGTTGTAAATCAGAACGTTCTTGTTCAATTTTATATAATCGATCATCATTCAATGATCGATTGAGTAAAGTCGAATTTTTATTCATTTGATCACGCGTATACTAATAGTTAAGGAGAAAATAATCAATTTTATTCCCTAAAGTAATAAAAAAGAAAAACAATTGCAATAGAAAAGGATATAGATAGAGGCATTCGGTTTCCAAATAATAGATTTGTTCTTGTAATTGTTTAATATATTCAGTTTCAAGATTTTGTGTAGATGAATTTGATAATCGCTGTTGTGTAACACTTGAACGAAGACTGTAAATAAATGATATAAATCGTTTTAAACAAATATCATTGAACATATCTTACTATCAATCATAATTATACTATTCAAAAATGACAAATCGATAAATAATAATCTATCATCTTTATCTATACCTATGTCTTTTACGTCTTATGTTTTGAACTTAAATATGTTTATAATAACAAGCGATATTAAAATATGATAAAAGAAATAAAAGAGTGAGTGACCTTATGAAAAACTGCAATATTAATTTTGTTTTAGAAAATGAAATTTTTTTTTCATTATTTCAATAAATTATCTTTAGATGACTGAATCTAACCTTGAATATGTACTCCTTCGATTAATGAACAAACATTCAATCCTTGAAATATTTGATTGCATATCTGTGTTTCATTCATTTTTTTCTCATCTATCTATGAGAATGGGCAGTTTACATCAAGACTGTTCGACCTCTCCTATATATATATATACATACATACATACATATATATATGCACATATATTCGCTAAAATGCAATCATTTAACTATTCCCATATTAAACAGACATATACAGCGGTATACATGTGTGAACATATTCAACAGAGAAAGAGTTACGCTTGACCAATTTTTGTTCTTAACATTTCTTTCTCATCGATCTTACTCTTGATCATTTATATTCATTTGGTCCTTTTCTATCAAAGAGTTCACTCTTTACCTAAATATGGGATCAACACAAACAACTAATAACCAACATAAACGTTATCAAAGTCCATTATCAACTCCAAAGTCAGTTCATAGTACACAAAATAAACGTAATGATCGTTTTCGTACAACAATGCGTAGTGTAACACTTCGAGCATTAGCTGCTCGAAACTATCAAAATTTTGCATCACTATCAAATGATTCCGATACAAATAATAGTTTATCAACAAATCCAAATACAATAACAACAACAAATTCTCAAACAGATGCTGATTCCTATTTAAGTGATTTTGATTATCGAAAATTCTCAACATTAACTGGTCTATCGGAAACAAAAATAAATGAATTACATCGAGAATTTTTAATTCTTTCACATAATGGTCGATTAACTTATGAACGATATAAATCTATGTTTGAAACTGTTTCATTTCAACGTACACCAGCACAACTTGAAAATTTAGCACGACAAACATTTGCAATTTTTGATAAAGATGGAAATAATTATTTAGATTTTGCAGAATTTATTGCTGCTTATATTACGATGGAAAGAAATGAACTTTCCTTAAATGATAAATCTACACGTAAAGAATCATCTGTGCCACCACAACCACCAACAACAATAGCTACTGTTAGACGTCATGCAACAACATATTATAGTCCTCAAAGAACTCTGGTCAATGCATCACCACTTATAACACATCGTCCAGTACATTTTCCAAATAATTATGCATCCTATCATCCATCTCAATCATCAGAACGATATGTCTATCTTTCTCCGCAATATGCATTTAGATAGGAGAGAGACAGAGAGAAAAAATATAGAAAGAAAGAATATAATTATCTGTTTGTTTTGTTTTTCTTTACTTGGAATCTTGTCCAACAG